GGAGTTCTTCCTTTTTTGTTTTTATCCCAGCTTGACGTTTGAGATACTTAAACCTTTGCTATAAGGTACCGTATGGGGCAATGTTCCACAAACACATTTTGATGTTTTATTCTATAGATCCATATTAGACTTCATGATAAATGGGTTAACTTTGAAATTTATATTGAGTTAACAATGAATTTAATGATTTATTTCTAACTTGTAAGCTGATTATCAGTAAGGGATGAGTGTTTATTGACTAACCTCTAATTGCTTTTATTGTACACTGTGGTGCATGCTATTGAACTGTATGTCGGAAATAATTCTCTCCAGATAATGAAATATAAATATGCTTTACTCAACAAATGAATCAAACGTAAATGTACCCTGGAAGATGGATTGTTCACATTAATTGTGATGTGGTATAAAAAGGAAATGGTGTGGTAAAATGACTGAAACCTTTGTATTAAATTATCTCTAGGACAATTGTTTACTGTACACAATGTTGAGCCAGAAAAAAAGAAACATGTGAAAGATATACAAACTGAAGATTCACAAATATTCAAATTATGGGTTTAATAAATCTTCTTGTCAAGAACAGCAACAAAATAAACTGCTGATCATTACCTTACACTTAGTTTCTTCTCTTGAAACTCCAAAACTGATCTAGAGTGGATTTCAAAGATATGTTATTCGAGTATAATGATGAAATGCACATCAATTCATATAATACTTTATTGCACCATTCAATGAAAAAAAATAAAGATCTACATTTTTTTCTTATTTTTAAAACTAATTCAACACAAGAAATAATCCAGATACAATGCACATGTATTTTTAAAATATACATTAAATATATATACATGTACTTTGCAATAATACATGTATAATATGAGTATAAAATATTTCAGATTTGCTCTCAATGACAACATTCATTCATTAAACTGTTAATAGCATAGAACTCATTCAAAAGCATATATAACATTTACATGTACGTGTCTGAAAAATAAAACAACAAGATATATCAAGGTTTACACATCATTTAAGCTTGTTAGTCATTTTTGATTTCCTTTTTATGTTTTTGAAAATATTTGTCACTTTCAGCTGCAAAACCAATGAGAACCATCACATACACTATAGCATGAATGATGGCAGCCAGAGTTTGAAGAGCAACAAATCCCCCCGTCATTCCTACCCGGTCCTTCAGAAAAAACAGGTTATAGATGAAAATATAGGTTCCCCATGACACATTGACTCCTGCCAGCAACATGGATGCTGTGCAAACATATAAAGACTTGGAAAAGTAAAAACAGAAGAGCTTATTTTTTCACTACTATTCTATATCATAAGCAAATTCACAAAATAAATAAAAGATATCTGACAAAGAATTTGAAGGTTATTCATCAGTTATAATTAGTAGAAAAAAAAATGTGTGTCAAGCAATTGAATGAATTTCTTTAATAAAATAAAGGACACACATTTTATAGATTGATAGCTTTGTGTATTTGTTGTTAAAAGGGGTAAAAACATGGTAAAAGTAAGTAAGTACAAAACACAATAACCAGTATTTATTGTTGAAATAGGGTATAAACAAGGTAACAGTAAAAATATAAAACTCACAATAACCGGCCAATTCAGCCACAGCTGTTTGTCCCTTGTACAGCATTCCCACTCCAACACCGGTCATCAGGTAAGAATTTCGACACCATGAAAGATATCCTGTACCAATATAAACACATCTCTTGTAAATTTCTTCCATTATTTTATTGCAACTCCAAAAACCACCCTATAAACATTTCTCTTTGATTTTTTCTGATATAAATAAAATATCTTTGAATACAGATATATTTAAAATACTTAATTTCAATAAAAAAATATTAGATTTGTAATATAAAATACAATGAGAATTTATCTGAAAAAATGTATGCAAACATACCATTTTCATTTGCTAATCGACAAGCCTGAAATCAGATTATATCCTTTTAAGACTCATTTAAAAAATATTGCAAATCATTAAAATTCTGCCATTTTCATCAATATTCAAAGGTAACATTAGTGGACACGTACATGTATTTCTAATACAGTATTTGGAGGTAAAAATCAGCATAGGTGCACATGTATTTTAAATACAGACCCATGCCGAGTTTTCAATGGCCTCTGAGGACATTTTATTGTCTATATAGATGTATCCTTTCTCCTTGGAGTCTGTTTTTGTGCACATCACTCTACAGGACGTACAGTCCTTCTGTATTCCTTGAAGAAAAGCTACTGTTTCTGTACATCTTGACTTGTTATGAATGAAATTTTGTTTCCATGGTGATAACAAACTTTCCAGTCTTGGTCTTCAGATTTCTAAATGTTTTTGCCATCGTTATAATCAGTGAAGGATGGTGGCATATGATTTATAAGTTTTGACTTTTGACCTAAAAAATATAAAAAGTCAGACTTTAATTAGTAGTTTTAGTGTCTCAAACCTAACACCATTTAATGTAACCAGTGGCATAGCACTGGCATAAATAAAACAGGTGTGAATGTCCTTGATGTAACAAAATTGACATCGAATATCAAAATGCAAGTAAATTTTATAGATAGAATGCCGTATTCACTGTGAAATGGCTAATTCAATATTAAATCATAGCAGGGACCTATATACTAACAGTTAGTATCACCCGTGGGTTTCCGACGATGATGATCATAGACATAAAGCAGAGGTTTCACTTTATGATTAAAAAACTTTGTATTTGTGCTATTTTTTCTGTGGGCTTGAATGCTAAAAAAAATCAAAACACAGTTTTCTATTAAATTATGAAATACAGGTACCTATTGTCATAGTTTCTAGTACTCTTTTAGCTTCACTAACTATAACATCAAAGATATTTCTTACATTAATTATACATTCTTCTCGGAAAAGAAGCGAAACGCAATTAGGAAACATAAGACGAAACGTAAATGTGAAAACCGGATCAGGCTTTGTTTACATTTTAGTGGGGGCGATCAGCACCATGTGACATGTCACCACAGGTATGTACATCGGAATTTACACGTTTGTATGTCTTTTTTATTTAATGCATATTAATCAGGAATACTTATATAAATTAGTGCATCAAATGAAAGTAACATTGCATCAGGGACCTATATACTAAGTACTTAGTATATAGGTCCCTGATTGCATTTAGTAAGAGGTCCTCGCTTACACAAGCCATATATAGAACATCTCGTCCACTTTATTTTTCCGGAATAATAGGTCAAAACACTGTGTTTTTATTAGGATGTAAAGCAGCCGGTTACATAGTCTTCATGATAATCAACTTCTGAGTAGTTGATTAGGTCCATCTTCTGATCATGTCTGAACCAATCACGGACAAACAGGTAGACAATCTGAAGCTAGCACTGACAGACATTCAGACAACCGAGGAATCACTCATAGGGTATCTTAATGATATCTTAAAAGGTAAAACTAATCTATGTTCATAATAAATTAAATGTACAGCTATAATGTATATTGTTAGCTCAGTTTGTATGATTGAGAGACCCTGGCTAAAGGTTAGTTTGAACATATTTTATTGTTTTGATGTTACAACAAAAGGATTGGACACAAGTTCTTAAAAACTTAGAACGCCCTCTCCTTTATAATAATTAATAACACAAAGTATTGTTCAAAATTAATTTACACAGGAACCAAAGGTTAGGATGTAGGAGCCGTCCCCGGGATACCTATAATGATCCTAAATGTGAACTTCGAACTTACCTGTGATTAAGTCGAACTCGCCAATGATTTAGTTAAACTGACCTATGATTTAGCTGAACTAACTTACGATTTTGTTAATCTCTTCTGTGATTTAGTTGAACAAACCTGTGATTTTGTTGAGCTCAATTGTGATTTAGCCAAACTATAATATTAGTAACCTCAAACATTGGATTTAGTTAAACTGTTAACTCTTTCCTTGGTTATAACATATTGCAGTACATGTATTTAAAGAATTTAAACAAGAAGTTCTGAAAAACTTTTAACCATTTTTATGGCGTCGGGCTTGCCCGATCGTCATCTAGCGATCAGTCAGGTTTACGCGACCGCACGTGTCAGTGGATGCATCCGCGATAGAAAATAGCAACAGCTGTAAACCAATTTCTTTTAAAACGTTCACACTGAATAATAGCTTGAATATAAAATTAAATCAATTGTATCTTCAATTAATACTACTACAAAACAACGATATTATGTTTAATTTTTACGCAAGAAAAACGTTATGGTTGTTGCGGATGAATTTCTACAGAGAGGGTGCGTCGAATGACATGAATCACATTTTGGGACCGATTACTGTAATACAAAGAATCTTAAATACGGTAAAATAATTACAAAATAAACACGAATACAACAAGACTATAAAGATTGAATTTCTTAATCTTAGCTTTACTTTTACGATCTTCAATCCAATTTTATCCGAACAACCGACGATATTGACCAGTAATGCCAGTAATACTGTATTTATCCATTTCCTCCATTTGTTTACCGCGCCCTATCGTAAGTCGATCGTACTTGTAACATTAGAGTCATGGTTGTAGTTAAGATGCAATCACTATACAAAAGAACAACGCTCTGACAATGGCAATTAATTAAAATAATTTATGAAACCCTTCATATGTCTTCGATTGACTGAAAAGAAATTAGATTGATACAGAGGATGGACATTTCTGACGATGTCTGGTCAATTCGAACCCTGATTCATTCGGACCAGGACACAAGGCTATCAGACTCTATACTGTATTTGTGTTAAGACTATTTTTTTTAAAAATTTTATTAGTATGTTACCGGAGTCACTCACTTGACCTATCTGCAGATCTTTTGAAATTGTTTTTCTTGTTCGACGCCATTGAAGCCTTTCAGGCTTTTGAATTTTTATTTAGAATAGATTTTGGGTAAAAATAATATATATATATAAAACTTTGATCCTTTTGATTGCTGCCTACAGAACCTGATGGTGTGACTCAGCTGATGGATGGGAAGATAGGGAGGCTATTTGAGCTGGCCAAAGTCTACAAGTCAGCTTTAGAGAGGTAATGGCTTCTGATGTAAAAAGAGAGCTTTATTGATTCTCTATAGTTCTTTGATTTCACTGTTGTTATCAAAATTACCATGGAAAACTTCTTGGCCAATACATGTACAACCTCAACAAAATAGTGATTTTCTGATTTTTGTTAAAGTAACAAAATCTAATGCTACTTACTTTTACTTTCATTTTAATTAATTAATTAATCGATTTTTATTAAAATATAATTGACAGGTTGAATGTTACATCCAAGAGTGATTTTTTAGACCTTGTCAAGAAGTGCTACAGGTTGGTTTTATTAGAAATGAGAACTAACATAATGAGTTATCAGGTATGCATGTCATGTAGATTAGAAGAAAGTTTTTGTCTTATTAATCTTATATTTAAAGTATACCATTTAGGAAGTCACCGAGGTTTCAGTGCTTTCAGTTTCCAAAGGTCAGAACTACATGTATTTCCTGAGTAAAGCCAATTTACGATTTAATTTAAATATTTGGAAAAGTTAAAAGAGATATTACTAATCATGGACTTCTGTGTCAAATAACAAACATGGAATAAAATCCCCCTATGCATTTGGATTTATTACCGTTTATAGAGTATTTAGTGACTGTCAAATTGAATGAATCTATCCTTAAAAGTTGACAATAATTATTCAGATAATTGATTGATTGCTATTGACTTAGGAATAGCGCTAATTATTTACTTTGGCAAATTTGTACAACCATGCATACAGGGAAATTTCCGCCCCATTTCGCCAAAATCTCATGAGGGCGAATTTAAAATGAGAATTTAAAAAGAAAACAGTTTAATTAAAAAAACCATAACCCTGACTGGGTTAATTTACAACGGAGCAAAATTATTTGCAACTGTGAAAGGGTTAAAATAACAGGACATAAAATAACGCTGTGTATTTAAGGGTGGCATATGTCGTAATGAAAGTATTATGAAAGTGTAGAGAGGCTATTTTATTTGTATTCACTGAAAATGTTAGAAACAAGTTATGTAAAATTGGTAGAACAAATATTTATTTATTAAAACATCCATTTTCGGTTATTGATACATGTATATTTTGAATCTGATTTCTATCTTATAACATGTATTTGGCCAAAGTGTATTTTTCATTATAAACTGAAAAATATTGTACGGTTAATTTCAAGCTCACATTTATGTAAAAAATCAGAAGATACATGTATGCACTGTTACAACGCACTTTGAAAAATTACGCACTTTGAAAAAAATTTTCAAAGTGCGTTGAATTTGGGACCAAATCAACACACTATGAAAAAATAAAATTTCTTTTCAAAGTGCATTAATATCGACCATATTAACGCACTTTGAAAAAATGTGTATGGCTTGCTCAATCTTAGGTATGATAAATAATTAATTTAACCTGTTTGATAACTCGTCGGTGATGAGGTTACTTCAGGATGTGAAAGTGAGCGATTTTGATTTTTCCATAGTTTGAAAATTCTCTCTCTTTTAAATGTTTACTGCACTTATTTTTTTTCTAGTTTGCATGCATGATATCTAAACTAAAATGAATTCATTTGAAAGTTTTCAAAGTCATAATAGTTATGTGAATACACACATCTCTGTTTTGCAAAGATATACATTATAGCAGGGATTTATCAAGCTGTTTTTACTACCGGTATTTTTTTTTCTATTAAACAGAGAATTTCGTACTGAAATTTTCCGTTTTTGTCATTTAATAGCATATCCTAAATAATCCTAGTCATTCAAAATGAATTCATTTGAAATTGTTTTCCATGATGTCAAAATATTACGTCAGAGTAAGAAAAGTGTAGATGAGTAAGATATTAAATCACTATGTGAATACACACAATGTTAGTAGTGAAACATGAAAAACAGAATTGATTTGTGATAGATATTGAGAGAAAAAAATTAAATAAAGTACTGACCTGGTTTAAATTTTTTTTTTATGTTATTTAATATTTTGTCTCAAAAGTGAAGATTTTGTGGCCTTTGTAAAGGTCTACAAATGACCCTCAGAAGCTCTAAGAATGCAGGATTTTGCTCCATTTATTTGAAAATTTTCCGTGGGGGGCACCCCCGGACGAATGCGCCTTTTGCCTGCGGCTCTCATTTTTCCCCTTTACATATGAAACGGTAGTAAAACAAAAAGCTAGATAAATCCCTGTATAGGCATTGAAAATTGGGGCTTATCTAAGGGAGGGAGGTGTCCACTCTCAATTTGCTACTGACGGCTATATACAATATATAAGAAAAAAAAAGAGTTGTCCTGAGAGACCTTCTACTCGTCTTCTCCTTGTTTTCAAAGAGATTAAATGAGTGCATGTAAATTAAAAAGTTTTTCGAAAGATATAATTATTACAAATTGTTTCTCTCATTTACTAAAATCTAAGACTAAAATATTTTTGTTTTATACACATTTTATTCAAAGTGCGTTAAATGTCCCCATGGTAAAAAATGTTTATGTACACTCTTAACGCACTTTGAAAAAATAAATTTTTCAAAGTGCGTTAAGTGTGTCCAAAATTTAACGCACTTTGAAAATTTTTTTCAAAGTGCGCTGATTTTGTCCCAGTTTTAACGCACTTTGAAATTTTTTTTTCAAAGTGCGTTGCCATGCACAATGCACTGTACTCCCTTCTATGTTAAATTTTAAAGGTCAAATATATAGGATGATTTGTTGACAAAGTTTTCTTTGTTATTGCATATCAGCCAGCTAGAATCTTTCATGAAAATATTTTGAATATTTGAACTGAACTAATACTGAGTTAAACTGAGTTAATTCCGAGTTCACACCTTTAAATTATATCGGAAACAAAGCCCGAAGAAATATCCATACACCTTCCGGAATTTCAGTCTGAACGATGATTGCCTGACGTCACGGCGTCAGGCAGTATAAGGATTGATATTTCCAAGATCCGAAAATGTGCGACCATATCTAAAGAGCTAGATTTTGTGCAAGCTGATTTACATTGGAATTCTTTACCTGTTTTAAAAGAAACAGTTTTCAGAAAAAAAGAAAGATATTACTGATGCGAAATACTGCAGTATTTACTTCCTTTAATCTTTTTGCATGGAACAGATTATTCCATATGATTTGTCGTTTCAACATGTCCGTGTATCCTTTTTTCTGCATTTCTATACTACTGGATCAGTCCATTTGTATTCTACGTCGCTCTTTTCGCGCCAAATGTCACAAGTAAATTATCTTCGCGCCATTTTCTTGGATTGTTCTATTGTATGAATGGGTGTGCTAACTTCCATGGAATTAAATAAAGTTTGTCCTTTTAACTTCCTTCTAATGCTTCAGAAATTCTATCTACAAGTTTTATACCATTCTTTAAAGCAACATATCGTATACATCAGTATACATGGTATATGGACATGTAACACTAAAGAAATGATGTTTCTAATTTGTTTACCGATCCCGCGGTTGGTTTATTCCATAAATGGACGAGTCCAATAATAATAAACCATCGTCTCAGGATGCATGATCTATTATATGTCTTTGTTTAGAAGCACACGATAAATAAGAAAGTGGTGAATAGTCTTGGATATTTCTTTCTACAAAGCCTAACTATTGAATTTACTTATTTCATTCTCAATATATCATGTATTATATGATAGTGTCATCCCCCTCCCCTTTTTAAGAAAAAAAAATAATGAACACTACATTACTACTGTTTACTTCAGAGGAGAAAAAACACACCAACAAAATGTGTTTTTAATTATATCCATCTTTTAAAATGTTCACAATGCGTGATTTGATAACAGATTTTATAATAGGTGTTACAATGCAGCTTGAAATCAATTTAGATCCAAGGGCAGATCACCCCACTTGCACCCCCCCCACCCTTCAACTACAAAGTTCTTTAGTATGCAGTGTAGAGATGATTCTTCTGCATGTTCAGTAAAATCAAGATTTCAATTACATAAGGTTCTCAAAATATCAAGTTACGATATTCTTTAAACCCACAAAAGTATTTATGCTCAAAAGGGTCATCACTCTTCATGCAGATAAATTGATTTAGTCAGGCAAGCTTTTTAAAAAGCTGTTACTTGTATACACATAAATGTTTATTCATCTGCACACTTACTCTAACTGATCACAAAAAGCGTCATTTCCTGTAGGTCTGTCTGTGTAAAGCTTGGTCGTGTTGGTGTCAGTGTACCCTTCGAAGTAGACATTATAAAAATTACATTTTCAATAATCAACCTTGTTTAGCTGTAGAGAGTTGGATAACAAAGTTATTTATATTGAATTTCAAAGTTTCAAAAAAAATTCTTACGAACAAAGATATTTATACACATGTATAGTAAATATTGTACAAAGACTTTCTTTACTCCTCACTACGATATTTGTTGTACCGAGAGAGAAACTTCAAGAGTACTGTGCAACAATATATCCGAGAAGTGATGTAAATCAAATATGGATACTGAAAATTTCGAGGAACTTTTGGAAAATTTGAAATCACAAAATTTTATCAAAATCAACAACATAAAAGTCTTATAATTTTTCAATTTTACATACAACTATTCTCCAGAAAAATTAAAGTTTAGTATTTCTGTCATCATTGAAAGCTAGCTGCTTTTTCAGTATAAAATGGAACTCGCAAATTTTCTTACCTTGTCATTGGTCATTTGCAAAATTACTTTGTTAAGAAAAAAATGAATCTTATTGTACACACAAGTTTTCTGAAATTTATATTAAAATAATGCTTGAGTTTCTGATTGACAATATTTATGTGGTTTTTGGAGACCAGGTTTTCCAACAATCTATTGGAATTCCCATGGGTACCAATTGCCCCCAATTAGCAGACCTGTTTCGTATTCACATGAAACAGAATTTGTTCATTTAAACACGAAAAAAAGAGAAAAAATTTCTATAACCTTCAACTTGCCATCAAGATATATATCGACGACGGATTGTCAATTAACAATAGTTATTTCCATACTTATGCTGACACGATATAACCCGGTGAGCTTGAAACAAAAGATATCACAGAGTCTGACACATCTGTTTCATATTTGAATATTTTACTAAAAAGAGACGTTAATGGTTATCCAACAGCAAAGCTTTATGATAAACACGATGGCTTTAACTTTTCAATCGTCAACTTCCCTTACTTATGCAGCAATATATCTTTGTCACCTGCATACGGAGTTTATATCTCTCAGTTAATTCGTTACGTATGAGCATGTCCTACTTATGAACAGTTTCTAAAACGAGGTAAGTTATTGATAAAGAAGTTGATGCAGCAAGAATATCAGCAGTCTCGTTTAAATTAAGCCATCATTTCGTAAGTTCTTTGGTCGATACAGTGACCTAATCAGCAAATACAATTTATCAGTTACTTAAAAGTCAAAAGCTGACTAACGTTTTCCATATTAATTGTTAGACCATTATTTACATACTAAGTAGTCTACGGATTTCCCTGTTATTTCCCGATCATGAAAAGGAATACACGGCGAGTGTGATCGGTCGGCAGGGGATGCTCACTCCTCCATGGCACCTGATCCCACCTCTGATGTTATGGAGTTCCGTGTTTGCTCCGCTTCTATTTTGTATTCTTTAATGGACTTTTGAATGCGAATACTATCCCTTACCTCCACAAATTTCATTGTCATGATGAATATCTATTAATAAGTCATTTTCGTATCACAAGAAAATATAAGCTATTGTAAATAAAGTCTCCTTTCATGTTTGAAAATTATCAGAAAGGTAATGGAAAAAGGCTTAAAAACATTTCAAAACTAATTATTACCAGCAATTGCTGCAAAATGTGCTATATCTAATGTTTATACGTGACTACTACTTTTTCTTAAAATTTCGAATGAATGTTCATATTAGGTTGCCATTGATTTATTCATTAATAAGGAATCATTTTCTCATCTACAGAAATGCAGATATTCGCACTGTAGAAGAGGACGTATATAGACAAGAGGTAAACTCGCACATTAAGATGAAAGGAAACAACGAACTGAGCACATTGAGTTGTGTTCGAAAATGAGCTCATCTGAGTACATTAAAAAACTTATTAAAATGCTAAATTGGCAAATTTATCTGTCTCTCATAATAATACTCACACTTATAAACAGTTTCTACATTATGTGATCAACTTTTTATATGAATTTAGCAACAATGGGACGAGATATTACAGAGAATTGACAAGTCACTGAAGGATGATGATACATGTGTTGAATTAGGGGAAAAAGGACCAGTAGACGTAGCACTGACTGATGCCAGATCAGGGAAGGAAACCAGTTTAACGGAATATCTGGGACACGAAAACCTCGTCTTGGTTCTGCTCAGGCATTTTGCCTGACTTCCATGACGTCAACATATCCAAAAAATTGAAGAGGCACAAGTAAGACTGATGTTGAAAATTGAGTTAGTTGACGCAAAATGAAAAACGACTTCATTATGTAAATGAAAATGACACAAATCTACCAAAATTATAGAACTGGGGAACAAGTTTTAGAGGTTTAAAAGGCATTTTTTGGGGAAAACTCTGGTATTTATATTGGATTGTTTTTATCACTTTCTCATTATGTTTTCGGCATTTTCAAATTGTCCTTACTCTTAAGGGTTTCCTGATGTACATGTTTATATGATAAATTCATTAGAGACTTTAAAGGAATAGCAATTCTTACTTCTAGGATGAGCTATCCGGATCAGGTGGTCGTGTGTTGGTGATTAGTTTTTGGGAACAGGAGGGAGCGCGGCAGTGGTTGGGGGAGACAAACTGTCCTTTTCCTCTGCTTCTAGATCCCCAGAGAAAGGTCAGTTAATAATGATTAAATTCTTAAGACCATATAGAAATACAATTAAAATGATTTGAATAATTGTAGTCGTACTTAGAATAAAGATTAAAATTTTTAAAATTCCTATTTTCAGGTATACAGTGCTTTTGACCTGCACCGTTCTGTGTACAAGGTTGGTAACCCAATTGATCAAATATGAAGCAGCTGATGATAAAATTTTAAATCAGATTAAAAATAGAGCTATAAACGTTTTCAAAGACAAAAAGCTGATAACATCTGAAAAAAGGGGCAATGATTAATTAAACAAATTCTATAAACTACCCGTTATGAGTGTGAACATGGCATGGAACACGAAAACCAAAACTATTAGTCTTGCCTTTGTCTTTTGACATAATATAATGTCGCTCATTCATTCATTCTTTATTTCCTCATAATATGAAATGATTTCACATTCAAAATCATGCAATTATACATTTACTATACAAAGTTTTTGAAAAGAAAATAATCAAACAAAAAGAACAGGAAAGTGAAAATTATTTAATGTTTATATACAACGTATTACTTCATGCAAGAGGAAAAATAAATAAATTCCTGGTATTAATCTGTTTAATAAACATTTTGAATGGAAATGTTGAGAATTGGTGTTGTCACATGTTCCTTGAAAAGGTTCTTGCCTTTCATTTCCCAAATTACAAGCTGGGGCATCAAAGTGTCCTTCAGTGACATATTTTAAAATATTTTGATGTGGTATTGATGTTACCTAACACTATTATTAACAAGAATGTATATCTCTGAGCAAAAAAAACATCCTAAAATTAATTTGATGATTATTCCAACAAGAATACCAAATTTTGATGCAGACTGTTGGTTTTACATACTCAATTAAGTCAACTGAACAAGAAAGAAATGAAAAAAGTAAATTTTTCTTCATAAGAATATTTAAGATTCATTGGCTTTTCAGGTTTGGGGAATAGAGGAAATGATTTACTATGCAGAAACTATGGCGAAGAACATCCCTCTACCTCAACCATCCAAATATATCCATGACGACCCACAACAGGTAAGTATTAGGTTCAACAAAATTTTAGGTCTTTGGAAGCAGTTTCTTTTGTTAAGAACGATTTGTACTGAGAATTTCATAATTAGTGAAATAAAGAGGATAAAATATAATAAATTGGAGTTATTGCAATTTTAGTTCATGGCAAAATGCCAAAACAGACAATATTATAACATGAAAGGGATGACTTTGCTAGAACGTAAATCGAGTCTCAGTGGATCACTATCAAATCGCATGCATCATACTCGAACCATCATTACCTTACATGAATGGACATCTACATTAAACCGCCAATCATCTCCTATGTTTTGCACTGACTTTGTATGTGAATTAGACTGTTATCTTTAGTTCGACAGGCTGATGTGGTGTCTAAAAGTGCTATGCAATACTGAATATCAATATGCTTTACAACTTCTGCAGACAACCGCTAAAGAATTAAACTTTCATTTGTTTTTTGGTGATGGTTGATCCATTAGTTCCACATGCTGGAGATCAATTTGCAGTCTCTTCCTGATTCCTTCTGGTTTGAAAACTGTACTTAACCGCAAAACTACATATAACCCATAGGAGAGAACAGGATAATATCTATCTTTCTCTACTTAGATTTTTTTCTACATAGATGGGTGGTGATTTCATCATTGACAAGAATGGTACAGTACGCTTCATTTACTGCAGCAAGAAATCCCACGACAGACCTGCTGTAAGGGACCTTCTGGACCAATTACAGGTACGGCATTGTTACAAAGTATTTGTAAATAACATCCACTAGCCTTCAAAGAAACCATAAATAGATCACATAGATACACAGAATCTTGGCCAAAAACAATCAAAAGCAATTTCTTCTCTACCTCAACTTCTCATTGCAAAACGCATAGATAGTTTAATGCTCACCAAACTAGAATGAAAATAAAACTAATGGGTGAATGAGAACTTGTGTTGACATTTTGTTGATCTGATGTTAATTAGGGTAGACAGAATCAGTCATTTATTATTGCTACCCTGTGCAAAAACCCCGGGGGAAATCAAAGTGTTAAACTGATGTGAGTTTTATTGAAGCTTAAAAATACAATCATACATGTAAGATTTTTTTTATAAACCTAGTTGTTAATCAACAAACATTGTTAGATCAGTATTCGACAAAAACAGTTCGTATTTATGAACCATTTACTGTAATATAACAGCTTTCTGTAATACATTTCTTTCAGAAACTCCTGTGAAGATATACTTCCGGTGTAATGACAGACTTGGCCTAAAACACATTGTGGAGGTTTTGTCTTGATATTGATGCTGGATGCTTTTCACAGTGAAATAGACATACATTCTATTTAACATATTTATATATACATTTACATTCCAATTAATGTTTTAAATTGATATTCCATACCTTTCTTTGTAAGTGTATATATATATATATATATATATATATATATATATATATATATATATATATATATATATATATATGTATATATATATATATATATGTTAATTTAAAATTAAAAAAATTGGAGTATTTTTTTTTCGGACATGTTAATAACATATTCAGGTGATAGCGGAATAGTTCTATATATAAACATGTAAGGACTGCAATGGAAAAGCTTGTCATCTCAATAATTACAAACAAATTAGTTGTTACTTGGTCCATATCTTTCCATAAAACATCCAAATGTGAAATACGCGGAAAATACCTTGTTTTCCCTTTTATTTCAACTTCATTAGAGTAAATTGAGTCGACATATAAAAGCAAATAATTTTGAAATTAGAGGGTTTTCCAAAATGATGTATTCCCCTACCACCCTTCTTGGAGGACAAATACATGTAAGTTGGTTTTGCTCATGGCATAAAGTCAAATTTAGAATACCACTGTGAAGAAGCAGAGTGATTTTAAACAAAGTAATTTTTTTTAAATAAATGACACGAAAATTTTTTATGTCTATTTTCATATCAAAACGCATAGATTTAAATTACGGTAATTGTTTGAACTAGTTGAATAAAGTGTAGAAAGTTTTAATTTAATTGACCTTTTACCGTTTTACTCCTCTCTAAGTTTGTTTTGTTTCAAGTGACTTTTGAGCACGATTACTGTTTGTTATTTCCATGTTTCTCATAAGCTTTGAAATGGAAACTAATCTATTTCATTTTATAATTGTTCTACATACCGGTGTTGTAGAGTAGGATTTCCCCCATTGCCAGCTTTTCCCCCGGAAATCGTACTCAAGAGGAGGATTTCCCCCGAGGGGAAATCTCACACCAGAGCCAAATTACCCCCGCTTTCTTTCTCAGAGTAGGATTTCCCCCGTGGTTACAAAGTCAATATAAAGCACAGCCGCAATATTTTTAAGAAATTAAAGAAAAACGAAAAACTTGATTTTTATGAGGTAAATTAGTGTTTTTTGTTTAATGTCGGGAGAATTTTTTAAAAACATATTTCAAATCATACAATCTTAGCCATAATATTAGCATTCAAATACATGTGAAAATGTAAATATTCTCAAAATATGATGAAACAAAAAAAAACAACAAAAAAACGGATGTCTGGATTGGTATTTTTTTTACCTATTTTGGTTATAAATGATAAATTTGCGACGAAAATATTGTAAACTTACTATGATGTTCAAATTTCCACCTTTCTGTAACCATCCTTATTAATATATACATTTTTTTTGGCAAATTAAATATCCTTAGATCCCATTATTGTGAAACTGGTAATGAAAAATTAAAACTTGTGCGTTTAACATTGTTCATTTTATTTGTTTAAACAATATGCCACCCAATCCCCCTCAAAGCATAAGTAGAGCAATTATATATCATCGGGGCATAATTGGCTCTGGGGGAAATCGCACTCTATAACTACTACACACAGTAGGATCCCTCCCACCCACCCCCGGAAAATTGACTCTGGTGTGGGATTTCCGTAGGGGAAATCCTACTTTAGAGTCAGTTTTCCTGGGGGGGGATCCAACTCTAGCGCAAGATTTTCGGGGGTCAATTCTACTCTAGAGCAAGTTTTCAGGGGGAAAGATTTTAGGGGGGAAGGTGTACTCTAAAAGACCGGTAATGTAAAGGAAATGTCTGTGTTATTTACGATTTATCTTTTTACCTAAATATAAGAAATGCAAAATTATAATGTAAAAACAGCATATGTGCAGAATCCTATACTCATAGATACATGTATCCCTTGATACTGATGACAATATCTAAGACATTTGCGTCAAGAGATCTGGTTCAAAATAAGGACTTTGTTGATAATATGTATCTAATAATTGTAAAATTATATTATTTATCTTTAAATATCTTTTCCATTCCTTTACATTAAAAAAAGTATTTTAGAATCGAGATCTTCTGTGGTCAATAGGAATCCTTTTGGGGGTAAAATATAGAGTTAAAAAGAATTTTTAGTATTAATGTAATGGATATAAGGCTAAACACATCTTTATATTGACACAAAAATTTACTACATAAAATCAGTATTATATAACATGCATAAATATGTATTCACTTTTTAAAAAAAATTAAACAATTAGCATCAAATAATTTTTAATAAACGTTCCTTTTCAGTTCTTGAAATATTTTTTAATCTAAAAGATAAATAGAACATACATGTACTAATTATTTTTTTATTATTTACATTGAAAATGCTCATCAGTTTTAAAAGCCTCTATAATATAAAAAAAAAAGATTATGGGGAAAGAAATGAAAACGACTTTCCTAAAAAAAAAGACGAATACATTTTACGAAGTGTGACAGCAAACATTGATACCACTATATAATTCAAAGTAGTTCACCGTGCATAAAAGTAAAAAATTAACTCTGAAAAACCTTTATTAACATGTTTACACATAAAGCGAACAAAAAATAACCAAACCAACTGCCACTTCATTAAAGGAAGACAAAAAAGTGAAAACTAAATATACAAATTTCAATGATTCCTTGAAAATGTTTCGTCTTTACAACATTTAATTATGAGAACTATTTTGTCTCTCTCGCAAATATTTGACATTAGATATATTGCAATTTAAGTATCTACTTGTAAACGTTAGATGTATTTCATTTTGTTTAATAAATAATAATGGCTTTGCCAAAGAAAGTTAATTAGCAGCGTTTGCAGCAATAAAAAAAAAATAAAAAGCGAATCATAAAACTGATGACCTTATTTCAGCTGTTTTGTTTTGGAGAATTATACTCTGATTTTTAAGCACAATAAAACATTTTTCATAGGAAAGTTATCAAACAGAGACAAAAATCACAACTTAAAAAATCAAGTTACGTGTCAAAATACATCATATTTTTTTTCAAAGGGAAATCTTTTAAATTAACTAGGAATATGGAAATATTTACATGTCCAATGTCTTTGTGCAAGATAAAATTACAAATATTAACTAGAGGTACTGTGAGCGATGAGCTCACTAAATGATACCCCCGCCTCCCATATGGTTATAACTGGTGAAAAAGTCCATGTTTTCCTGTGGCTGGGAAACCCAAAATATGTGTCGGATCAAAAAGTAAAATAGGAGGTGCACAATGGCAATATGTAATTAAGATTCTGTGAAAGTTGCATCAAATTTCATTCAGTGGTATGAGAGGAGTTGCGGATAAGAGATGGGTACCCCAAAGCGTAACAGACGGACGGACGGACGGACGTACAGACGGACGGAATTAACGATTACTATATACCCTCTCGCTTTTCAAGCGGGGGGTATAAAAATACCCTATTTCTACATAAATCTATTGGTTCATAGATAGGCGCGGTTTAAAAGAAATCTCGTGCGGGGCGGGACAAATAGAGACAGAAGCATGGCTTGTACATGTAGCAAGTGATCAAAAACATGTAAATATAAGGCAAAAAACTTCTAATATTTGGGTCTCATGACCATTATCTTTTTTGCTTTGGCGTTTATTAAATTTACGCTATGTACGCGGACACAAACTTTCCAAGAATATGTCCTAGCGTACTTAATATAAATGTATGGCATATAGTGACAGTCGAACAAATCCGCGTAATTTTTACCCGCGGATTAAACAGAAATTGAGATTCCGCGGAATTATGACCCCGTGGAAAAAAGTACGTCTACAGTATTTGGGTCTCATGACCATTATCAATCGTTTGGCTTGCTTTGGCGTTTATGCAAATTATCACGGAATCCACCCGATTGATCATATCACAAAACCAAGAATTTCGACATTTATTTCTTAATTAAATGCAATTTGCTATTTATTTAGTTACATTTTATTTACGTTATTCTAATGTTTATTGTACCCCATTTTAATTTAAGCTGCCAGTAAATAATTTTAAACAATTATCAAACAGCATCAAAATGTCTATAGTTGATGTAGGACTGTACTCTCGTTTTACCAATTCTTATGATAAGTTCCTCCCCTTAAAATCACCTGTGGCTAAATGAAATATCTGATAGTCCCTTAAAAATTAGTAACCAGCCAAACTTGTTTTTATCTCTCTCTAACAACAAGACAGGTACAAGTATAAAAGTACCAATACTGCAGTATTCCATTGCCAAATTGTATTTAATCGAAACACCACTTTCATTAAGCAGTCATAACGTAAAATTGTGTTGAATCATATTAAGCCATAAATCAACTAAAATGTACCTACTGCGATTCAATAGAATAGTTGTAGGATATCTCTGGTACAAAATTTGCGAGACGGAAACAATCTATCCAGAATCTTATTGCTGCTTTTTTGTTAATAACAAGTCAGACATTTAGATGTTAGATGATTGTTTCCGGTCATTACCAAATTGTAAACCAGATTTTATTCCTACAAAACGAAATCTGAGTGTACTTTGTCAGACAGAACCAAAAAGAACAGACAGTTGCTCCAGTCCCGAGGAACGATCTTCCAAAAAGTGTGCATGGTGACAGTTGAATGCTGTTGCTATCTGTAAACAACCTAATGTTTGCAACAATATTTTGCTAATAACAACTGAGTTCTTTGAAATACTTTAATTTTACAGATATCAAAAGAACACACTTTAGATAGTACAATAAAAATCACCGAAGAAAAAAAATAATTATCAAATTTTCGGGACGCCCTGTCCCTTCGTCAGGTCACTGAGAAAGTTAAAAAGTCAAAAGAGAGTACAAAAATAAATGCTCTTTTTATGTATATATTACACATTAAATTTTTATATTTTGTTGTTTAATTTTAATAAATATCAAATGAATCCGGACAACTGTATCTAAGTAATTTACAGATTGTACCGGCTACATAATTAATTGGGCTTTATTATTCCTATGAGTTAGATATTAAAATGACGATTGACATTTATAAATGTCACTATAAATGACTATATACTTACTATATTCTTACTACATTTTTATAATTTATTATGTTTAATTATAGCCAACTATATATGTTCTTTTCTAAAATAGTATTATACCATTAACTGTTAGACTGAAGGAATTATAATTACAAGACCTAAGTTTCGCAACCAAATTTCGATTACAAAGATTTCAAAACAGATTAACTGATTGATGTTTAAAAGTAAAATAGTAATTACTGTTCTTCTCACACACATTTATAAACTGTTTTAGTAAGAAAAACTGTCCTATTTAATTTAAACCATCACATTAAAGTTAATGCATTTACATACGATTTTTATCATTTCATTAATGTGATCTTCTGCGTATGTATAATCTTCTGACTTACCTCACAAATATTAGATAGAACAATACCACCTGGGAAATGGTGGCGAATTGTAAAGTCTGTTACTTAAAATTTTCTAAATAACAAACTAAACCCCCACCAATAAAATCTAATGTTAGGATTTTTATAAACCCTTTTGATAAAGCTAACATAATTAATTTGTAACACTTTGCAAAAATATCACATATTGATGTTAGCAGAGAACTCCAACTACCCCCTCAAGGACCAGGTCCACCATATTCGATAAACACAATTCACATTACACCCAAGAAATGGAGGATCAATTACAAAATATCACCCGCCTAAACCCACAGGAACAGATGATATTTCTCCACATATACTGAAAAATATAATTCCTTCTATCACTGCACCCTCTAACAAAATTGTTTAATGCATCAGTCATTAACCAGTAAACATGGAAACTATATACTGTTACACCAGTTTATAAAATAAAGGTAGTCCCAAAGAACCAGGAAACTAAAAACTTATTGCCTCAATTAGTATTCTTTGCAAGATAATGGAAAAATTATATTCAAATATCTCCACAATTACATGTACAGCTTATATGATGGATCATAATCTTCTATCCAAGAATCAGTCTGGATTGCAACCTGGGGACTCCACTGTAATTTAACTTCTAGAGATAGACAATACTATTATAAGCAGTTTAGACGAAGGTAAAGATGTAAGATTTGTTTTCTGTGATTTATCAAAAGCAATTGATAAGGTCTCGCATAAGGGATTATTATATAAGCTTAAGCAGAATGGTGTTGTAGGAAATATATTAAACTGGATAGAAAACTACCTTCCTGATCGTAAACAAAAAGTTTTATTAGAAAGATACTCATCAGTTAGAGAAAGCATAGATGCAGGCGTTCCATAAGGTTCTGTGTTAGGACCATATCTCTTTTTGGTATATATGACATAACTGAAGATTTAGAAATCAAATTAGATTATTTGCAGATTATACTTCTTTGTTTGTAATTGTAGACTCTGATACACAAGCCCCTATCTTCTCTTTATTAAATAACTTAGAAAAAATTAAACAATGATCCAGATCCTAGTAAAACTGTAAATGTTAATCTTACCCCGTCAAATAAATCACATCAACAAATCTCATTTGGTTATATAGAAAATTACACGGAACAAAAGCAAATTCACTGCCACCTTGGACTTGTCTTGCAATCCAATGGCGGTTGGTCTGAGCATATTTCCAAAATATACCGGTATAATAAAGCATGTCAACGTTTAAATTTCTTCGCACACTAAAGTACAAATTAAACAGGTTTCCCTTATCAGTATTTATACTGCTTTTATTAGACCTTAAGAATAGAGCAATGTAGTGTTGGATAATTGCACACAGGTATTGAGTGATCTAAGAGAGTGTGTGCAAAAAGAGGTTGGACATATCGTTACTGGGTTCGGCGAAATTCTTCGAAACAAAAATTGTTTAATGAATAAGAATGGCAAACGCTTAGTGAAAGAACTAACACCTGCTTACACTTATGTACAAAATACTTAATAATCATACACCTGAATATTTGCAAGAAATGGTCATATAATGTCTACCTGTTTCACGTAATTACGCCAAGTACGCAATAATATATACCACTTACCAATCACTAGAACAGTAACTGTTGCATATTATAATAGCTTATTACCATCTACAATTAAATCATGGAATGATTTGCCAGATGAATCAAAATCTGCAACAAGTGTAGCAAAATTTAAACAATGTATATAAAATAAAAATCTTGAAGATAAAATAAAATCCAAATTACACAATTAAATATACTCCACTGTCGGTTGAGAAACCTCTCTAGTAATCTTAATGCAGATTTGAAGACTGTTTATTTTTTCTGCCTAACCCCGTGTTTTAATCTTGCCAGGAACTCTTTAATCACATACATGAGTGACCATGACATACCATGAGATGTCAATATCGTATTATCTGGTCATGATTGTTTATCTGTTAGAGAAAATATGTTGTTCTTTGACCAAGTTCATAATTTGATAAAAAGCACGAAAGGATTTTAGAATTAGAAAATATACTAACTATTGTGCAGCATGTCTTTCAATCTTTACCTTTAGGTTGAGAGTGTACAAAAACAAATTAGTATGGTTCTGAGCCTCCCCCCCCCCGTTATTTTTATAAATTTTATTTATTTTTTTTTTTGCCCACTTTTCAAACGCATTTTTTCTTAAATGTTGTACTCTTTAATCCTTTCAATATTAGTTTATAATACATGTCCTTGTAGAACTTCAAATATGTTCAGTATTTACATTTGTACCTTGATCTCAAATGGAAAGAACTAATATAGGCCCTTGGCCTGGTGTTCAATCCATATTCATATTGTATACTTCTTTGTATATTATGAATAAATACTTCTTAAACTAATCTTCTGACTTACACATGTAAAAATCCAGAAATGCAGCGTTACTTTTAAAAATTTAACATCATACATTATAAGTATGAAGATATTGTATCTACAAATAGAACATGCATTGAATCATGGAAAAACTTTTACCCCTCCCTCATCACTAGAAATCTTTATTTCTTTTGTTCTGTAGAAAACTACACAAAACGTAATCGTGAACATAGAAAGCCTTTGCAACACATAGTGTATTGGAACATCTGCAACTATATAATACATCAAATAAAACGACTAAAGCAAGAAAGCACGAAGGCTAAAGCAAGAATGAATTTTTCGGTATTCCATCACCTATTTTTTCTAGAAGGCAAAAAAGAACATTATGCACAATGAAACAGTCTTCTTAAAGATCGACGAAGTGAGCCCAAATACTGTGTACAAAGAACATGGCCAAGAGAATGGCTTACTTTGTTAGCAAAAACATCCCTTATTCAATGTTGAGGCATGGTCAAGAGAAGGCTTACACTGGTAGCAGAAACATCAAGAATTCAACATAGAGGATACAAAATGAAAAACTCATACATTATCTAAAACAACCCACAAATTTACTTTTTGAAAAAAAATATAAGGATGTTCATCCCCATATTTTTTTATCGACAGATTACAGTGGCTATAGTAAAATGACCTACGGGTACTTTGCCTTAACAACTGACTCAATATACCGTATCTAGAGCAAATGGTAATCATCTGGAAGCAATTGCACAACATTCAGCATATTTAGTGCTGCTTCAGACCTTCTATGTCAACCATCACCTTAATGAAGATCGTATCATCTCGAAGGAAAGTTGGTGTTTCAAGCACCGAGTGACTAACAAATAATGGGCATCCAGAGGCAACATTCATGTCCGTGGTAGGACGCTTAAAACTGGAGCTTGATACGTCTGGTCTAAAGGAATCTGCCAGATGTCTTGTTCCACTGTCCTGATCCAAAAGCATCAAAGTGACCTTCTGCTTGAAAGGCCACGGCAACAAAGCATCGTATTCTCCTCTCTGGACAACGAAAAACAGAGAAAGGTGAGTGCCTTTTCCTACCCCATCTCCATTCAAGTAGACCCGAGCACACATTTTATATCCGAATCTGCCTGTATAGAAAGGTTGGCTATACAGAGAAATCGTTCTCCCTGATTTGGCGTCTTCCTTTCTTCGTTTGTAGTCGCGAATTTTCCACATCAGGGTTCCATTATAGCTCGCAGTCTCTAGGACCTGGAAACGTAAGTCTAGTTCAGCCATTCTAAGGTCCATTAGTCCGAGCTGTCGCTCATGCTGCTGGATTGATTCTGGTGACATTTCTTTGAATATAAAGAAAAAAGAGAGTCATTGTAGAATTATAAAATGTAAACTGCAAAATATGTACCTGGTATAATTATTTAGTATTATGCATTTAAAAATTCTTGATAAAATAATACTTGAAAAATACACCTTAAAATGTATATACAAACATATACTTACTTTTCTTTGTTGATCGTAATCATAAAATTCGAACGTAAGCCCAGAATCAAGATATAGATCTGAATACCAACTTTCTTACACTCCTCTGCAAATCTTTTTATTTTTTTTATATCATTTCAAAGTTCAAAGGTTAGAGATCAAAAGTGATCCAATAGGTAAAGAAGACTCGACTTCAATATAAACCCAAAATTAACATTGACCTTATCTTTTATTTTTTCTGCTATAACAGAAAATCCCCGTCTTACAACTTTAATGCTTACTCAATAAGAGAGGGGTAAGCTGATATTCAGACTCTATTTGATAAACAACAAACACGAAATGGCTTTAAATCATTTATTGCTAGGTAATTGTATTGATTCCATGTATCGAGATTATATTTTTCTCAATATCTATTGAATTTCCATATACAAGTTTCAGGAATGATAATATGGGATGGTGAATTTTGGATATTGGAAGTATTCTTTTCAACCAACCATTCATTTCGTTTGATCCGCCCATGGGTCCCGCTCTCTCTAATTGGGTGACTCGTTCACCAATCGTATTCTGTGTTGCTTTCATCATAAGCATGTCTCTTGATAATTTGTCTTGTACATCCTTCTCTGCAAGATTTTCTATCTTTCTCTCTACTGTTATGAGTCTTTCGGTTTGGGCAACAACTTTAAGCTTGAGAATTGAAAATATTTTCCTCTTTAACAACGGTAGTTATTGTTGGTACATTGGTCAAAATACGCAGTTTCTCACAAGTTGTGCAATAATATTTCATGTGTTAACTGTAGCATTTTATTCGAAAAATAGATTAGAGCATACCTTAACATCTTTCATCGCTTTTTTCATTGCGTCAACCACTTCCTTCAGCTCTTCACAGAGCTTGGAATTGCTTGTGATTAGATGTTGAAGGTCAATTATTTTACCTCCCATTTCCTATTAATATTTTGAAATATTTAAACATAATAGGGACATATAAACGTGAAGCTCTGTACGTGATTTTACAAAACAAGCAAGCGAGCAAATAAAGCATTAACCGTCAATATATAATGTACCGTTCTTTTTTTGATAAATCGTATGTTTTAATGTGACTTGGTTATGATGCATGTCTCAGCTGAGTTTTCGCTAATTAAAATTCATTGATTTAAACTCTTTTATACATTTTGATTTTTGAAATAGTCAGTTGAAATAGATCTACATTTTAAAGGCTGATTTATTGATCATTTATAAAAATGCCATCCAGCAAAACTTAATATAAATAAAATTAAAAAAAGTAAGTACGTTCTTTCGTCATATTTGTGTCTATATATGTCTTATTCAAAGGAGAATAAAATTTAAGGACCCTCTCTACATCAGTGCAAAACTATTTTTGGACACTGAGAAAAATAAACTGTATAAAAGTATTAATATTGAGCTATTTATTTAATTTTCAATATATAGAACGTGGCATTTACTCCCAGGAAATATGTTCAAACACAACTCAATATCAGTGACCAGAAATCATTGTTGTTTACTTCTCTGGAAAAGATTATGTAAATATCATGTTCAATTAGTTTAGTTTGACCTTTTAAAACCTTAAATTAAGAATAATTGAAGATTGAAAACTGCTTAATATATTATAAATTTCTATTAATTGGAATTTAAATCTAAAGGACAGATCACTTTAACTGCAGAAAAATACCATAGAACCAGAAATCTTTAGTGCTCAGTCTAGAGAAGGTTCTAAAAATTTGAGTTTTTCTTTCATAAAAAGTGACAGTATACTGACAATACTTGAATCAAATTAAAACAACATTCATGAATAAATATCGTATCCATTCCTATTTGTGTAATTTTTTTTCATTATTCTAATAATGCAGTTTGAAATAGTTAAAAAATTCTCGCGACAGTGCTTACATTATCATGAGTTTGAAAAAAAAATCTATAAACAACATTTCTGTATTAACAAATTATAACTTACAAATTTTATCGAAAACATAAATATCTAAGAAACAAATTAAGTTGAAACTGGATATAATTCAAGACGTAAATTCAACCAATTCATTTGTTAGCTAAAATGATCCGCATTTTGTAAACCGACAAACCTGCAACTGTTCTTTCAAATGAAGTCCACCAATTCCCGATTCTGTGTTCTGGATTACAGATAGCTCTAGATGGCGATCCATCCCTGTCTCTATATGCCTATCTACTTCCTGTTTCGATCCCTTTTTAAAATTTAAATAACTAAGTAGATTTGAATATTTTTTGAATATCGGAAAATTCAACATTTTGTATGGTACTAGTATACAAAATCATTGACTGAATTTAACATGTATTTAAAAAAAACTGCACACCAAGAAAAGCTTACAGTAAATTCACATCCAATACTGTGGTATTTACATTTAAGGGGTCGCCGATGACATTCATTGATAAAATGGTATTCAATCTAAATAAAAACAACAGAGAAACACTTGCTTATATATTGTTAAAATAAAGATATTTATGCATATATTTTGTAAAAGCCCAAACATTAATTTCAAATATTCAAATTTTCAAATGTCTCTGAGATAAAACGACGAAAATAGGTTATGGCTTTATAACCCCATAAATCGACTTGTTCAGCACGTGTCACGTATTGCTTAGTAATATACCTGGAGGGAATACTGATATTTCTTACTATTTATTTTTTTAATTGAATTAAGGGTCAGGTAAAATGTAAATGAAGGATATGGACATAACGAACAGTGTTCAATATCAAAGTTCATAAAACAATACAAAATGGGGCAGAGAAAACACGGAACTCTAAAACATCAGAGGTGAGATCAGGTGCCTTGGAGGAGTGAGCATCCTCTGCGACCGGTCACACCCACCGTGTGCTTCTTGTCATGATCGGGAAATAACGGGAAAATTCGTCGTCAATTCAGTGTATAAATAATGGACTAACAATTAGTATGAAAAACGTCAGTCAGCATTTGACTCAATGATAAATTGTATTTGCAGACAAGGTCATTGTGTCGACCTAAGAACTTATGAAATGGTGGCTTTAAACGAGACTGTTGATATTCTTGTTTCATCAAGTTGTTTGTCAAGTCGTTTTAGAAATTGTTCATATGTAGACCATGCTCTTGCATATCGAATCAACTGAGATATATAAACTCCGTATGCAGGTGATGAAGGTATGTTGCTGCATAAGTAAGGGAAGTTGTCGCTAGAAAAGTTAAAGTCATCACGTTTATCATAGAGCTTGGTTGATAGATTACCATTAATGTATTTTTCAAGTAAAATATCCAAGTATGAAACAGATGTGTCAGACTCTGTTATCTTTTATCTCAAGCTCACCAGGATATATCGTATCGACATAGGAATGGAAATAAGAAACAAGAGGCCCAGGGGCCACATCGCTCACCTGAGCAAATCGGCTAGGAAAAAACACATCAGATCAGAACTGAAAAGTTTACTGAAGGGGGGGGGGGGGGGGGGGGGGGGGCTTGAATTTAATACTACTTTAGAATGCCTTCATATTAATACAGCATATGACTTTGCTGTTCTTGATAACAAAGATTTTTTAAAAACATTTTCTTCCTATACTATCACTAATCATTGCTTTGAAGTACTTGAGAAGAAGATTTTCCTACAAATTCCTGTGTAAAACTTTGATCAGCCATTGTGGCCCCATCCTACCCCTGGGGGTCATGATTTGTACAAACTTGAATCTATGCTACCTGAGGATGCTTCCACATGAGTTTCATCTTTCCTGGCCCAGTGGTTCCTTAGAAGAAGATTTTTAAGGATTTTCCCTGTATACTCCCATGTAAAAATTGATCGACCATTGTGGCCCCATCCTACCCCCGGGGGTCATGATTCGAACAAACTTGAATCTACATTATCTTAGGATGCTTCCACATGAGTTTTATCTTTCCTGGCCCAATGGTTCTTGAGAAGAAGATTTTTAAAGATTTTCCCTATATACTACTATGTAAAACTTTGATCGGCCATTCTGGCCCCACCCTACTCCCGGGGGTCATGATTTGAAGAAACTTGAATCTACACTACCTGAGGATGCTTCCACATGAGTTTCATTTTTTTTGGCCGAGTGGTTCTTGAGAAGAAGATTTTTTAAGATTTATATACTCCTATGTAAAACTTTGATCGGCCATTGTGGCCCCACCCTACTCCTGGGGGTCATGATTTGAAGAAACTTGAATCTACACTACCTGAGGATGCTTCCATATGAGTTTCATTTTTTTTGGCCGAGTGGTTCTTGAGAAGAAGATTTTTTAAGATTTTCCCTATATACTCCTATATAAAAATTTGATCGGCCATTGTGGCCCCACCCTACCCCTGGGGGTCATGATTTGAACAAACTTGAATCTACACTACCTGAGGATGCTTCCACATGAGTTTTATCTTTCCTGGCCCAATGGTTCTTGAGAAGAAGATGTTTAAAGATTTTCCCTATATACTACTATGTAAAACTTTGATCGGCCATTCTGGCCCCACCCTACTCCTGGGGATCATGATTTGAAGAAACTTGAATCTACACTACCTGAGGATGCTGCCACATGAGTTTCATTTTTTTTTTGGCCGAGTGGTTCTTGAGAAGAAGATTTTTTAAGATTTTCCCTATATACTCCTATATAAAAATTTGATCGGCCATTGTGGCCCCACCCTACCCCTGGGGGTCATGATTTGAACAAACTTGAATCTACACTACCTGAGGATGCTTCCACATGAGTTTCATCTTTCCTGGCCCAGTGGTTTTTAAGAAGAAGATTTTTAAAGATTTTCTCTATATACTCCCATGTTAAACTTTGATCGGCCATTGTGGCCCCACCCTACCCCCGGGGGTCATGATTTGAACAAACTTGAATCTACACTACCTGAGGATGCTTCCACATGAGTTTCATCTTTCCTGGCCCAGTGGTTCTTGAGAAGAAGATTTTTTAAAAATGTCATTAATTTTTCACTAATTCATAATTATCTCCCCTTGGAAAAGGGCGTGGCCCTTCATTTAAACAAACTTGAATCCCCTTCACCTAAGGATACTTTGTGGCAAGTTTGGTTGAAATTGGCCCAGTGGTTCTTGAGAAGAAGATGAAAATGTGAAAAGTTAACGACGACAACGACGACGACAACGACTACGACAACGACAGACAACGGACAAAACTCACTTGAGCCTTCGGCTCAGGTGAGCTAATAACTGTCTGGGTTTTTGGCTTTATGATGATGATTACTGACAATGTCATTGTATCGACCATGGAACTTACGAAATGATGACTTTAGAGACTGTTGATATTGTTGTTTCATCAACGTGTTTGTCAATAACTTACCTCGATTTAGAAATTCATTTTTTTCTCACAAATGGTTATATTTCATTTTTGTCACTTCTCTAACATGCCTTATACTTCTAATATTTAAACATACATGTATTAAATTGAACTTTTATAATATAAATAAATACGGTTCAATCTACAAGCATTAGGTTTGGTATACTAGTAATTTACACATATTTTAAGATACTTTACCAGAACTCTCGGTGCTGGATCTTTTCCACAGTTATACGGACATGGAATTACATACTGAGGACATAACTTTTCCTGATGTTCCTGAAATCATGATTACAATTTGCAGGGCACCTGCTTAAAATGATATGCTTACTCCAGTTTTAGGATACAAAGAGGGGATCATTGTTTTAAAATACCTGAATGAACTGATGCTGAATTTCTTGCATGCAAAATGAACAAACTTCAAGTCGATAAGGACAGTTCTCCTGATGAGTATCGATTTCTTTCTGAATTATAATGACGTCACATCCTTCAGTGGAAAATTTACATTTGATTGGTCTGAACCCACATACTACCTCGTGGTCCTGAAAATATTGAAATATTATATTAATTCGTACAAACAAGAATTTTTTCCTTTTCAAAAATATATTTTCAACAGAAAAGGCAATTATTAAAGGACTTTATTGAGGAACAATAAAGATTTAAAGAAATAAAAACTCCAAAATAAATACAAATCTATAAATGCGCCGCCATATAACAAAAACCTCCGAAAATTACTGAGGTGTGCTAGATGCTAGAAGGAAAAACATCCCCTGACGACTGGTTACACCCGTGGTGAGCTCTATTTTCTGATCAGGAAGACGGAATAAATCGTAGTCGAGATAAGTATAAAAATAAAGGTCTATAATTTAGTTCAAAGACTGATCCAATATTAGATAGCCTAATAAGTTCATTATAACGGCTTTAAAATTCAGGACAAGCCAACAATAAACGTGGTTTTTGAAATCCTTGTTATCTTAACTTATATGTCAGTAGCCTGTCCTGGGTTAAAAATCATTCTAACTTTGAGCATGCGCTTGGGTATCGAAGCACACTACGTCTGTAGTTTCTCGTTTTCAGTAGTTAATTTTGAAGAATTTCATTGTGAGTATGAGTTGGATTTCTAGAATTAAAACCAAGTTCTTCTAAAAATACAACTTAAATACTGAGCATTACAATGAAAAAAAGATATTGTTCCAAGCCAAACATTTTGTCCATGTAACATTTCTACATAAATTCTTTTATCAGCACAATTTAGTATAATGTATTTTTTCGTATGTCTGTTCATGTCAAGGAGCACATGGCGAGAGACGTGTGCGACCAATCCGCTTACTCCTCCGTGGCACATGATCCTGCATCATAGGTAAGTTCCAAACTTGTATTAATTTTTGTTTCATTGTACTTTGGGCTTGTTATTTCATTTTTTATGTTTCCGGCATTGACTTCGTACTTTTTTAAAGAAGACTAATATATAATGAATAAAATACAACAGATAGTAAGTAATATCTTATTTATGGTAAGTAATGTCATTATTCTGTAAATTTTGAATGGTTTGGGTGAATACTTCCACTCTGCTATATACCTGTAAACATGCACTCGACTAATATATACTTAATATTGTATAGCTAGTAGCGACTAATATAAACTTAATATTGAATAGCTAGTATCGTTAAGAATTTTTATTTACAGGAATAGCTTATTATGTAAATGTTGAATACATATGTGATTGGGTTGCAAAGTCGTTTTCGTGTACACGTAATACCACAGATATACATTGATATGAATACTATTACTCAGTGTAAACCTTTTTTTAGGTACGAGTGAAAGGGTGACATGCGGTTAATAACGACGTAATTATATCGAAGACATGTCCTACCTGTAGATGCCTCCATTGTAATGCTTTCTCACATCCCTTTGCTCTGAATGTACAAAACACTGACAGGAGGCGGACCTCCCTCCTAGCCCCCGAGTCTCTGTGAATCTGTAAGTTATATATCATAGAAAAATCTAGAACATTTCATGGCAATAGCATTAATAATAAGCACCATAATTATTCTTTCCTACAAAATGCAGTTCTAAAATTACTGCTCAATTGCTATTTTTCTGTTTTAACATTTATTCGTAAAAAGATATTTTCCTCATTTAAAGTTTTTTTACGTACATCTGTAAAAAGCTTTGACAATATTCACTATTTTAAAGTTGAGCTTTTAGTTACACGTGATAAATGGCTATATTATCATTGTATAAATTGTGGGGTATGCCTCTGCATTTATAACAGTTAGTTAAACGTCATGGGATTATTATCTGGATTGAAAAACCTTTTTTTAAAAGATGCTAACAAAGAGAAACAAAGAATAACTAGGGCTAATTGTAACGGGGACCGTTACAGATGTTCCCCAAACGCTCCCCAACTCCCTTTTGGTGCCACATTTCTTTCAGCTCTATTAGATAAGACATACTTTGTGCAATTTAGACTTAAACAACGTTTTCCCAGAAGACTACAAAATATATTTAAATTTAAGCATGACATGCGAGTTCATGTGAATGCATGTGGGTAATGATCATATCATCTTTTCTACACTATGTATATATATTCAAAGAAACTTAATATCAAAGCATTTAATCCAGAAGTATTAAAAAATACACTTATTCAAGCATATTTTAATTTTACTCATTTCACGTGCACACACGGTCAAGCATGTGCATGATGACCATACCTTCTTGTAGGGGACCATTATGTCTATCAATATTCTAAATACCATCCTATTTCTTTGAAAACCAAAGAAGTTATAACCATTTAATGTTTAAGCCAATCAGATTTCAGCGCACGTGCATGCATGTGATTTAATGACAATTGTTATATATCATATTGTAGGACATCCTATTGTATGCTTATGTTTTAAATTTCAAAGCATTTCGTCTAAAAACGGAAAAGATATTGAGATTTTTGTTTCAGCCAATCAGAGTGAAGAACACGTGCACGCACGTGCATGACGACCATACCATCTTGTTGGAGTCTATTATGTCTGTCTATGTTCTAAATCCCATCCTGTTTGGTTGAAAAACAAGGGAGTTATAGCCATTTAAAGTTTAAGCCAATCAGATTGCAGCGCACGTGCATGCGCATGTTTTTACGACAACTGTTATATATCATATTGTAGGTAATCCTAATACATGACTATGTTTAAAATTTCAAAGCATTTCGTCAAAAATTAAAAAAAATATTGCGATTTTTGTTTCAGCCAATCACAGCAAAGCACACGTGCACGCACGTGCATGCATGTGCATGTCAATTACAACACCTTGTAGGAGTCCATTATGTCTGTCTATGTTCTAAATCCCATCCTGTTTGGTTGAAAAACAAGGGAGTTATAGCCATTTAAAATTTAAGCCAATCAGATTTCAGTGCACGTGCATGCGCGTGTTTACATGACAATTGTTATATATCATATTGTAGTGCATCCTAAAGTATGCCTATGTTTTAAATTTCATAGCATTTTGTCAAAAAACAGAAAAGATATTGAGCTTTTTGTTTCAGCCAATCAGAGCGAAGAACACGTGCACGCACGTGCATGACGACCATACCATCTTGTTGGAGTCTATTATGTCTGTCTATGTTCTAAATCCCATCCTGTTTGGTTGAAAAACAAGGGAGTTATAGCCATTTAAAGTTTAAGCCAATCAGATTGCAGCGCACGTGCATGCGCATGTTTTTACGACAACTGTTATATATCATATTGTAGGTAATCCTAATACATGACTGTTTAAAATTTCAAAGCATTTCGTCAAAAATTAAAAAAGATATTGCGATTTTTGTTTCAGCCAATCACAGCAAAGCACACGTGCACGCACGTGCATGCATGTGCATGTCAATTACAACACCTTGTAGGAGTCCATTATGTCTGTCTATGTTCTAAATCCCATACTGTTTGGTTGAAAAACAAAGGAGTTATAGCCATTTAAAGTTTAAGCCAATCAGATTGCAGTGCACGTGCATGCGCGTGTTTACATGACAATTGTTATATATCATATTGTAGTGCATCCTAAAGTATGCCTATGTTTTAAATTTCATAGCATTTTGTCAAAAAACAGAAAAGATATTGAGCTTTTTGTTTCAGCCAATCAGAGCGAAGCGCACGTGCATGCGCGTGAGTTCGTGCTAATTTGACAGTGTCACGTTATCTACAGTATTAATATATCTTTATATGATGAGTTTCAAATCATTTCATAAAAAAATGTAAAAGTAATAGCTATATTAAGTATATCAGTCAATTCACTCATTTCACGCGCACGCACGTGCATGCGTGTGCGCGCAAAATGACCTTCCTTCCGCACACCTACACTACACACCTATTAACCCTAAAAAGGTTTTAGCTCAGTTGGGTGAACAGTTTCTGAGAACACTCGCGGACAAAAAAAGTACCGGAGAAGAAATAAGAAAAAAAATAATAATAATAACTAGAGCAAAGCTCGTTGCAAAGCAACGAGTAGGTCTTCCGTCCGGTTTTGACCGGAAGTGCCGGAACGAAAGAAAGCAATGAGCTAAGTAGTCTCCATTGACTTTATAATTTCAATTTTGCATCAAAACCTTCAAAATAAGCCATTTTTGCTACTTCCGGTTTGACCGGAAGTGACGATGACGGACGGAAAAACTACTTTTTATGCTCCCAGAGACATATGTCACCCAAAAACTTGTCAAGGACGGCAAAAAAACTCGTTTTCCGACCACTTCCGGTTTGGCCGGAAGTGACGACTCCGGACGTATTTTGACGACGCCATTAGATAAAGCTTGATATTTCAAACAACTTTGCTTCTTTAATTTATTACAAATTCTCAATACTTTTTGAGATATATAGGAAAAACTTTCGGCCCCTTTTGGCCCTTTATTATAGGGGCCAGCCCCTAAACGTTGATATCTTTCGAAAGATTGTGACATTCTTCACAATTTTTTTTCTATATGTCTTAACAAAATATTAACGTGTAAAAAGATATTGCCAAAAATGTGTGAAAAAATTCTGAATTCTCGATAGGTCTTTTTTCGAGTCATAGCGAGCGCCGACGTGCTGCACTTCCGGAGAATAAGAAAGGTGTGTGTCACATCAGCACATCTTGCTCTATCATCGCTGAAAATCTTACGTTTCTATCTAAAAGCACTTTTGAGAAAAATGCTGGACAACGTGACCCTCTGAAAATCACTTAATCGCGGAAATCTCGAAACCGGAAGTGACGTCATAAAAATAAAAAATTATATATCAGGTTTGGTTGATGTTCCATCAGTCCTGAAAGTTTCATGAAAATCGATCGAGCCGTTTCCGAGAAATCGCGTGCACAAAATCGGTAAGAAAAAAAAACAATAATAAAAATAACTAGAGCAAAGCTCGTTGCAAAGCAACGAGTAGGTCTTCCGTCCTGTTCGACCGGAATAACGCCAAAAATGGATGAATCATCTAAAACTATGTTAATTAATGCAAAAATAAGCCATTTTTTGCTACTTCCGGTTTGACCGGAAGTGACGACGACGGACGGAAAATTATATTTTATGCTCCCAGAGACAAATGTTACCCAAAAACTTCCCAAGCTAGGCAAAAATACGCGTTTTCCGACCACTTCCGGTTTTGCCGGAAGTGATGACGCCGGACGTATTTTGAAGATGCCAAAAGATTAAGCTTAACATTTTTGACAACTTTGCTTCTTTGATGTATTACAAATTCTCGATACGTTTTGAGATATTAAGAAAAAACTTTCGGCCCCTCTAGGCCCTTAATTTTAGGGGCCAGCCCTTTTTACAAGATATCATTTGAAAGATCTTGGAATTCTACACTTCTTTTGTTCTATATGTTTTAACAAAATATTTCCAGGTAAAAAGCTATCGTAGAAAAGATGTTAAATCTTTTGAAATTCGCGATAGGTCTATTTTCGGGCCATAGCGAGCGTACTTCCGGTAGTTGTGATATACAAAAGGCACTTCTCCAAAGTTTGCTCTAGCATCCCTAAAAAATTCACACTTCTATCTTCAATGGTTTTTTAGAACATTGCCGGACAAAGTGACCCTCTAAAAATGACAAAATCGCAGAAATCTCCGAACCGGAAGTGACGTCATCAAAACAAAAAAATATATACCTAGATTTTTTGATGTTCTATCATTCCTAAAAGTTTCATGAAAATCGATCAAGGCGTTTTCGAGAACTCGCGTGCACAAAATATGTAAGAAAAAAAATAATAAAAACTGTGGAAAAGAAACCTAAGAATAACAGAAAGGTCTTCCGCTGAAGACGGAAGACCTTAATAAAAATAGTGGAAAAGAAACCTAAGAATAACAAGAAGGTCTTCCGCTGAAGACGGAAGACCTTAATAATAATAAGAAACAGAGTAAAAACAATATGTTCCCAAACTCCGTTTGGGGAACATAATAAAAATGTAAAAATTGAAAATTAAATTCAATTTTATCTCCAGGCCCTGATAAAATACAAGATTGACCTTACACTTGGCATGATTTACAATCCTGTGTAAATTAACAGAGAGAAATTTACAAACAAAACCTATAGAGATTCACAACAGAGAAAAGAGTTAAAAAATTTAATGTAAATATTTGATTATAAACCAACCAATCTGAATATATCTTCTGGTGACCGGTTTGTTAAAAACATACCACAAATAAACTTTTGTTTTTATTACATTGCAATGTTTTATAAATCAAAGCAATATCAAAAGGATAGTAATTAGTATCTCTTGGACCAAAATCTTTCTTTGCTCCAGTCTAAAACTACTACAAAGACGTTAAGCCTAGTTTAGCACTCATTAATGAGGTATTTGATGTTTATATGTAGTTAAAATTCCGGAATAACAATTTGGCAGCAGGTTGACCCCATATCCTAGATCCATGTAGGTATGACAATATTTATGACATCATATTGGAAAGCAATATAGGAAAAGATAATATCGAAATTTCCAAACTTGGCATTGTAAGAGAAGACAGTATAGGAAAAGAACAAAGTGATATTAATAATGCTTATAAATAAACTTTCTGAGTAATATCGATACATGTATTTCCAAACCTGGCATAATTCTAAGTAGACACACGAATCTTCTCCGGCGGGACACTTGACCCTTTTTGGATTCCCTTGCAGTAACTGAGACATGCATTGTTCACAAGCTCTATGTCCGCATGGCGTCTGAACAGCCTCCCGTACAACTCCTGTACACACAACACATCTATACTTATCGTCCAAGTTAACAAAGTCAGGGTTACCGGGCGGAGTTTCCTGGAGTGATGATTTAAGGCTGGATGTTGATGATTGCAGAGAACTGTAAGCTTCTGCCATCAGGAATATTCAAGGGCTTGAAAAGTATATATTAATCAATATAATTGTCAATTTTTTTTTTCATACTTGAATGCCACCACAATGAGAAAATGCTTCAAGAAAAATAAATTTAAATAATATGCACCACATAATTCAGTTGTAAACTAATTTAACTAAAGTATATATGTATAAGAAATATTGAAAGCTTATAATTATCTTTTTTACATGGCAGTGTTTCATTTATGATGTTACATGTATATCAATTCATGCAATTTAAATTTTGGAAAAACAATTAACAAAGAAAGCACTAAACTTTGTTATTTTAAACCCAAGTTTGTTTTACGAATTATTCTTTCTCGGGTGTAAACATGCTGAAAGAAAAATAATGTATGCCATGCTTCTTTTACCTCGGACTAATCTTACTGGGAGAATGTATACCTTTGCAAACATCAAGAGGAGAAAACGAAAGTATAGGCCTATGGATGACAATTTCAGTTCCTGGGAGTATGATTCTCTATCTCACACGAAGAGTTGTCGTTCGTTACTGTCTGACGGTAGAGATTGTATTTTTAAAAATCAAAGCTTTGTTTCCAACAGTAACATTTTAACCTGCTTTTGGCCATCCAATAATTGTACCCTTCAATACCTTCACGTCTTTGAAACGTTCATAAAGAAATATAACTTAAGACTCTAAAAAGTCTTACATGAAATCTTAGCTAATTGTCCTATAAAATGTCCCAAATATGACTTTGATTGAATATATCAAAGCTTAAAATAGCAATGATTCTTCTTTTCCGACTTTGCCATCCATGAAATAAATAAACTAGTTATGATGTTTTCCACGGGCCACTGACTCAAACTTACGACATTTACATGGTTATCACTTGAAAAGTCTCTTACCCAGAATCCCATATTTTCAATGAAGCCCTTTTGGACATTCCTCTTCAAAGTATTTTTTGAATCTGAAAGAGAAAACATTAGATGTTACTGACCCGCTTTCATGCAATCCTAGAGCTGGAAAATAACGGATGCAGATGACACAAAAATATCAAATGATGCTTGGTTTTGCGTTAATACTGCAGCATAAAATCTGCAGAAAATTGTGTGCTCCCTCACAAGAAAAGCAATATTGAACCAACCAGATTAATTATTCTTCAAAATGGAGATAAAGTACTCGAAGTAAACTTTGAAGTTTTTCATAATCTATAAATAAAACAGGGAAATCCGAACTCCAAAAATAGTCACTGCTAGATGTACTTAAAATAATCATTGATATTGCAAATATAATTAAATTTGATAACAAAACTTCATGATTCTAAAATTGCAACTAATGAGTTAGTTACTCACCTAGATTTTCTTTCGTCACAATTTTGATTTATTTAAATTGTTCCAATTTGTTCCTTATAATACGTACCATTCAGTTTACCAGCTGTCAAAGCTGTGTTGGTAAATTGAATGGATCTTTATTAGACCGACACAATTATTAGAGCGTAAAATATCCAATTATTTTAGAATATGACACCAATTAAAGTTTCTGTTACTATCAAGTCCTTACTGATAGATATTACGTGTATTTATAAATATCGAAGTTCACATTTGCATAGTACACATTGACGTAAACGTAATCTAAAAAAAGATACACTCATTTAGATTGAAATTGTATTTTGCAGTTTTATAAAATTCTGTATAAGGAGAAGACTACTAGTATCTACTAGTAAGTTGCAGAACTTGTGTCTTATCCTTTTGACTTTGTCAATTAAAAAAATCCATTGAAGCAGTTATAATTTGGGAGACACGGACTTCTTGAAACATCAAAGGTGGAATTATGTACCATGGAGGATTAAGCATACCTTGTCAACCGGTCACACGTATCTTTTCACGCAGAAGTTTCTGCTTCATTTAAATATAAAACTGGGCTAATAACGGTTGCAATTGGTACCCATTTGAATTCCAACGAATTGTTGGAGGACTTTATCTCCAAAAGCTACATAAAGGTTATAAATTGCTATTGAATTTTTCTAATATCAACTATAGAGTGCTTGTTTGTTGAACAGGATGTTTTAACAAAATGATTTTGCAAATGACCAACGAAAAGTTAAGTTTTGGTTATATATTATGATTTCAAAATTTATTATCAAACATTTTAGTTTTTAAGTCCTCCTACAGAGGGAAAGCTGGCTCACATCATGTTATTTTTTTTAATTTGAAAATTGTGCTTATCTGAATTGGTTTGTACAATATTCACATATTTATTTTGAAACTTTTTTGAGATTTTTTCTCTGCACGATAATGCAGTATCAGGGATCAATTTGCTCTTCATGTGAGGTTCATATGAACGGTTAGTAAAATAATTCCATGAAGTGTTCCCATAAATTTACTTGTCTAGTTTTTCGTGCAAAGAATTCACATGAAATTCATTTGAATTGGACATAAAAATTTAGGCGAGCGACTTGTGCCTGTGACACATTATTAACAGCACTTTTCTAATATGTTGTGTTGTATTCTTGGAATTTCTCCTTCTTTGCTGTTATGTCATAGAATCCGCTAAGTATCCTTGTTCGTAAGAATTGTAATGTTCTTTATGAAACAAGTATTCTATGGTAATTCAAATTCAATTTGGTTTTTGGAATATAAAAGAAAATATTTTAAATGAAGAATTTTATCCTTAGAAAGAGAACTTTGTATATCAATTGGATAACCACTTGCAGAATTTAATCCTAGTTCCTCTAAATTATCTAAGAAATAATGAGCCTTACCAACAATCTTTTTAAATGCTTTGTTACCCTGGACCTGAACATATTGCTCATATCATCCATCCAACTCTTCAACTTTTTAATTATTGAAAAAAGAAGGGTTAATTGATTTGTATGGTCCCTTGACTGTTGAATGATTTTGAAGCCCAAATGAAAATAAATAATTTAAAACAGTTTAAACAAAACACTTTTATTTGATTTTGGTTGTACAAGTATCAGAGACGACTCCTCGCACAAGTAACAACGAACCTGGGAAAAATCAAATAAAAAGTCAGGATTATCCTGTCTTTTTAAATTAAGATTGATTCTGTGCCTAGAAACAAAGTGACTGATGTATGGAATCAGATTTACCTCTACTATATTTATTGGCAGAGTCCATTGTTGCAAGTGTATCCTGAGGGGCATTGGCTACAGGAGGGACCGCTGATATAAGGTCTCTGGTTGTTAAAGTTTCCACTGAAATAAATAAGCCAATTAATAATCCTACTGAATGAATGACTAGATGTTTTAGCGAATCAAATCTCTTGATATTGGAAAAATGATTATTTTATAGATGGATATTTTACAAGTTATATGAATTTTTAATAAACAGAGGGAAATTTTAACTTGTAGATATCAGCTGCTTTAGTTTTTAGTTTGAAGAAATCGAACAAAAATAAAAAAAAATTCTAAACTTGCCTCTGTTTCTTTTCAATATAAAAATAATATTAGAGATCAAAATTTGAAAGTTTTGTAAGTGTTTTTTCATATTTTACGATTATCTTCCAGTTAAATATTGATACTTACGCGGGTCCATAGTTACAAACGACAAGGGTCTTTCCGGAGCAGTTTGGGTTTTCTGCACAACCTAGGTATTCCGAATCTGCCCAGACAACCTACAGAACAAGATTTAGAAGGTTAATATTTGAAAAGGAATCAAAATGATTTATTGACAGAGAAATACAGCAAATTTCTGTTCACACCAAGAGGGACAAGAGAGACATCTTGAAGAAAAATTGAAGTTAAAACAAATGCTGATTTCCAATATCTATAATATATGTGCCTGTGAAAATGACCACATATCTGTTTCCAATTTTAGTTTGTGTTCGGAACAGATTAAAAAAAAAATCTTAAAATGCCAAAACTGAAATGCTTTTTTGCAAGTTAAGTGTTAATAAAACACGTTTCTGTGCAAATATGAAATGCGATTTACTGATATTCCCGTGTTGTCAAAACATGCCATAAGGATATATTAATTTGACAAGACGGCAGACTTCAAAATTGTTACTTGCTTTAATTAAAGAACAAGTAATCAAATGTTTTTCTATAATCAATGATTACATTTTATAATTTTGAAAAGCAGACTCTCAATAAATGATTTCAACATGCCTGCAATCAATACAATAAAATACACAGGAAATAATTTCGCAAAAGATATCCTGCAAATTTTTCAGTTGTAAAAAATTCTTTTCAAAAACAAGATGTTCAGGAAAGCCACTTGACCTGTGTATAATGACCACATCTGCCAAAGCAATAGTTATTACTGTAACTGTAATCCGACGATTCTGAGGCCCAGTAACTGACTACGGAAGACGCCGAGGGCGTAAAGCTGGCTGAAATGAAAAACAAGTAATACTTAAAATATATTTTATTTCAAGAATTAATTTAAAAATATCTTTCTAAAAGTTTCCATCTTTTGAAAATGAGTATATACATACCTACATATACGTTTTCTCCTACATTTGAGAAACGTGACCCAGTAGGACTGGGGTTATGTCCGAATATACACTGTGACACCCAGGACTGGGCGATGTTAGCCAGGGAATCGTCCCATTTCTGTAAGGAAAAACGCCTTGTGTGTGAATGTGCATTTCAATCTGATACACAATCAAAACATTTGATTATACACAATGAATAATTCAGGTGTTTGGATTGAAATTCTTGTTTGAAATTCATTAACAACCCACTTTTAGCTACATTTATTCGAACAATAAAACTGATTTAGAAGACATAATTTTATGCTATGCTGAAATTGTTATTTTAGTATATGCTTTATCAACAAATTCAATATAGATAGTTCAATACTCAAAAACATGTTCTGAGTACGATCATATTTTCAACCGAGGCAGACCATTGACAGATAAGTTGATGTTACAGCGATTTCAAGACGCAGTTTATGTCAGCACTTCGTATTTATAACTGCACTAGGATCGCTATAATGCCATTGTTCGTAAATGAACCGTATTTTGCTGACTTTTTCCATACCAGTTGCAAAATCCCTGTATAAATTTGACGACGGGATGTTCCAGATCAAGTGATTACGACTCAAGGTAGGTGTGACCGACCGACAAGATACTTACAGAAGCAATTCCTTTGCACCTGATCCAACGTCTTTAATGTTCACGAGTCCGTGTTTTATGCTCTATTCACAGATTTGTGTCGTAATTTTTAAAGAATATCGATCACTTTTAGTTATCTTCAGTTTCTTGTTTTTATTTTATTAAACGTCGCTTTCATTTACAAATTTATTATTGAAAAATCTTGTCTCTCAACTTGAAATCTTCCGTTAAAAAGAGATGAGTAATATTTATTTTTTTTATTTCGTAGAGGATCACAAGAGGCCTGAATAAGTTCATTATAATGAAATAAACAGTTTTTTGGACTCTCGTGTTTTTGAGCCTGTACCCAAGACATAAGATAACAGTAACAAAACTTCAAAGTCGCATGAAACAAAGATTGGAAACAATTAATATATAACAATCGGCTGACGATAAATTGCAGTTTACTTAAGTTTACTAACTGATAGAAATCTGATAAATTTTAAAAGAACCATGAACTGCTTAAAGAATGAAAGGTATTATTCCTACAAAAAAGAATAAACCATTTTAAAAATATAAAATATAATTGATATGTAAGATTTAGAAAAATTGCTTTATGACCTGAACGCAAGCTGATGCTCTTCAGTTCTTTGTTCCAGTCACATTTGAATCAACTGAAGTGCATGTCATTAACTTTTTATCTGACAGAATATGAATCATAGAAATGAAAACATAGCTTACCATTTCCTTCATGTTTGCGGCACTGGGACTCACATTCCTCCTTTCGTTATTATGGGCCTGAAAAGAAATCAATTGAGGAATTCCTATAATCAACTCAATTTACATAAGCAAAATTGAATTTTAGTAACAAACAATTTCAATTCTGAATAATCACCGTTCGTTATTTTCACCTTTTACATGTACATTTATGAGCCAACACCCCCATCCACACCAAATAAAATAATAGATAAACAAAAACACAAAAGCAGAAGAAGAAGACGAAACTTGCTTATATGTATGACATGAGACATCAGATCAGTATTAATGTTAGCTCATAAGATGTACATGTAAAGAGTAATTACTCAGAATTGATATTGTTTGTTAATAAAAGTCACTTTTGGTTGTGTGAATTCAAACAGTTTCAAAATATTTGTGCTCACGGGAAAGACAATCATCCGGGTACTTGAACAATCTAAACGAATAGCTAGTTTGCTGCCTCGTTGTGGTACATGATTTTATATAGTACTGTAATAGATTTTGACTGAAAAATTTTCAGAACTTGAGGATCGGACTACCTTAAAGAAAGGTAACAGGTAAAGACATTTCTTTTTTGTAATTTTTTTTCTCGTGGTCAAAAATGAAAAAAAAAATCACAGCAGATAAAAAATTGTACGATAATTTTATTTTAGACTTTAAAAAATAAAATAACAACTTTTTAAAAATTGACATTTATATCTAAATGTAGATCATCAAATATTTACCTGGACGTAATCAGCCGGAACAAGAGCCTGGGCAATGACTGCTTGGGTCAGTACAATGAAGATGGCGGTCTTCATGGTGTTGACTGCTGATATTGAGGGGATGAAGAAACTGAATATAATAGTATATTTATAGGGATCTCTACCACTCCTCAGGTAATTTCTATTGATTATGAGCGGAAAGTCATGATAACATGTTTTCTTCACTTAATATCTTTATTAAGATCATTTAGCAGATAAAACAAAAGTTTAAAATTGAAAAAGGAGGAGATACAGTGTTAAAGTACAGTCATTCTTTCGAGTACTTTTTGTCATTAAGTAAATTACATGGACTCTCTAGTCGTGATCTTAGAGGAGATTTGAAGATTTATTATGTCCTGTTACTCTTATTTGTAAGTACAGTTTAAGCGTATCAGTATTATTGTTTGTCTTAAAAAATCAAAGTTGAGCACTTCAGACAGGCATATTTATTACAGAGTAATGAAATTAACTGCAAAGTTTATAATTTATATAAATACACCAATTAGTTTCACACAGTTCCCTTTGGTATCTAACTTTTATTGTGAATGTGACATTTTACTGTATAATTAATCTTTTTTAGGACGTACATGTTAGACGCTGCTTGCTGGAGAGTTCTAGTTCTAATGTAGAGACTTTTAGAGTGATTTGCACTTTAATTTATAAATGAAATAAACGGAAATATATAGTAAATGTCACAGCTTGAAATAGAATTAAAGTATTTTTTTGTTAAATTAATATAAGAAATAAACGCTTGTCGAAATATATAGTAAATGTCACAGCAGGTGTGGCAAATAAAGGCCGTAATTAAATAGTAAATTTTTTCACCGTTAAATCAGTGAAATATTCTGGAGAGGGACGTTAAACAGTATACAATCAATCAATATATAAGATCATGTGATTAAAACATTATTTTCATGTATTTTTCTCAATGTACGTAACAGTATTTGAAGGCGTATTTCTGTTAACTAATATTTCATGAATTTTGAACATTTTTCCTGGATAACTTTTGCAGATAACCTATGTTAAGAATTTAAATTAAATGCGTTTTTAATATGATAACATTGCGTCAATGTTCAAGGAATTGTCGTCATAAATATAAAACTGTGTTAATTGATAAAACCAGTAATAATAACGAATAGATTTATTGAAAAGTATTGAGCAATTAGCCAATTACACAAACGATTTTGGGATAGAAATACAAATTCTGAAGATTGTATTGTAAACTTCCAACCATTTTTTGGTATTCGATGAACTAAAAAAATCTTATAACGTTTTATGTGCACTGGTTTGAAGTCTGCATTGTTTAAAAAATTATTTATAGAAAATATTTCGAAAGACAAGGTACGTACGTATATATGTAGACGAGTTCCATTTTATTAAGAAAGCAGCTGTCTATAATTGCAAAAGTTTGAACATTTGTTATCATGGAGAATGGTTGTATAAAGTGTTAAACTGTCGTACGTTTTGACATGATTGATTTTGGTAAAAAAAATTGGGAGTTAACATTTTTCAAAAGTAGTAAGGAGTTGTTTTTTATTTTGCATTTACGTCTGATTTAAAAGAAGCCTTTTGGTTTTATTGCTGTTTTGTACTCCTGAAGTTTCTCTTTCACTGCTGCTAATTTTTTTTAGTGAAGTTCAAAAGAGTCAAGGTAAAAAATCTACTGGAACCCGTTTTATATATTTGTTTGCAAGGATGATGAAGAGTAGGATCCATTAGAGGTACGGTAATTCAAACTAGTGCTTATTGTAACGGGAACCGTTACAGATGTTCCCCAAACGCTCCCCAACTCCCTTTTGGTGCCATATTCCCTGTAAGCCTTATTGAATAAGACAACATCTTTGCATTTTTGATTTTAACAACGTTTTCCCAAAAGGATACCAATTATATTCAAATTTTAACATTGCACGCGTGCCCATGTGAATGCACGTGCATAATGATCATATAATCTTGTCTACACTTTCTATATATTAAAATATACTTTATATGAAAGCATTTAGTCCAAAAGTATTAAAATCTCTAATTCAAGTGTATTTTCAATTTCACTCGTTCCAAATGCACGCAAGTGCGTGCACGTGCATGATGACCATACCTTCTTGTAGGAGGCCCTAATATCTATCTATGTTTTAAATCCCATCCTGTTTGGTTGAAAACCAAGGGAATTATATCCATTTTAAGTTTCAGCCAATCAGATTGCAGCACACGTGCATCCACGTGATTTTAACAATTTTTTTCTAAATCATATTGAAGAATATCCTAATGCATAACTATGTTTTAAATTTCAAAGCATTTCGTCTAAAATCAAAGGAGATATGACCATTTAAAGTTTCAGCCAATCAGATTGCAGCACACGTGCATGCGCGTGATTTCTTGAAATGCTTTGTATATCATATTGCAGGATATCCTAATGCATGAATATGTTTTAAATTTCAAAGCATTTCGTCTAAAACTAAAGCAGATATAGCCATTTAAAGTTTCAGCCAATCAGATTGCAGCGCGCGTGCATGCGCGTGATTTCATGAAATTTTTTCCATATTATATTGTAGCATATCCTAATTCATGACAATGTTAAAAATTTCAAAGCATTTCGTCGGAAAACAAAAGAGTTATTGAGATTTTTGTTTCAGCCAATCAGAGGAAGGCGCACGTGCATGCGCGTGAGTTCATGCTAATTTGACAGTGTCATATTATCAACACTTTTAATATGTCCTTATGTAATAAGTTTCAAAGCATTTCATCAAAAAATGTAAAAGTTATAGCTATATTAAGTATATCAGTCAATTCACTCATTTCACGCGCACGCACGTGCAGGCATATAAGCGCAAAATGACCTTCGTTCCGCACACCTACACTACACACCTATTAACCCTAAAAAGGTTTTAGCTCAGTTGGGTGAACAGTTTCTGAGAACACTCGCGGACAAAAAAGTACCGGAGAACAAATAAGAAAAAAAATAATAATAATAAGAAACAGAGTAAAAACAATTGTTCCCAAACTCCATAACTAGTGCTAATTGTAACAAAGTGTCATCCCCAACTCCCTTTTGGTGCCATATTTCCTATAAGCTTCATTAAATAAGACAAACTCTATGCATTTGAGACTTTAACAACGTTTACCCAGAAGTGTACCAATTTCATTCAAATTTTAGCATTGCACGCGTGCGCTTGTGAATGCATGTGCGTAATAACCATATAATCTTGTCTTTACAATCTATAGATTTTAATATACTAAATATCAAAGTATTTAATCCAAACGTATTAAAAAATACGCTAATTCAAGTGTATTTTTGATTTTACTCATTTCACGTGCACGCACGTGCTCACATGAGCATGGCGACCATACTTTCTTGTAGAAGTCCATTACATCTATCTATGTTCTAAATCCCACCCCGTTTGGTTGAAATCCAAGGGAGTTATAGCTGTTCAAAGTTTCAGCCAATCAGATTGTGGCGCACGTACATGCACGTGTATGCATGTGCATGGTGATCATGTCTTCTTGAAGAAGTCCATTATATCTATCCATGTTCCAAATCCCATCCTGTTTGGTTGAAAACCAAGGGAGTTATAGCTATTTAAAGCATAAGCCAATCAGATTGCAGCTCACGTGCATGCACGCGTTTTCAAAATAATTGCTATATATCTTATTGTAGGATATCCTTATACATGCCTATATTTAAAATTTCAAAGGATTTCGTCAAAAAACAAGAAAGATATTGAGACTTTAGTTTCAGCCAATCAGAGCAAAGCGCACGTGCATGCGCGTGAGATCTTGCTTTTTTGACCATGTCATCTTGTCTATGCTTCTAATATATACTTCTAATATGAGTTTTAAAGCATATCATCAATAATTTAAATAGTTACGTCTGTATCAATTATATTGGACATTTCTCGTGTTGCACGTGCGAGCTCTTGCAAGCACACGTGCATGCACATGCTTTCATGATATTTCTTTTATTACGGGCTGTAGATCTCCCTAATGTATGACTATGTTCAAAATTTCAAATGATTTTAACAAAAAACAAGAAAGATATTGAGACTTTAGTTTCAGCCAATCAGAGCGAAGCGCACGTGGTTGCACGTGCGATCTTGCTGTTGTGACCATGTCATCTTGTGCATACTACTCATATATCCTTACATTATGAGTTTCAAAACATTTCGTCTAAAAATAGAAAAGTTACGGTTATATCCATTATATATTGGTCATTTCAAGTTTTGCACGTGCGCGCTCTTGCAAGCACGTGCGCGCAAAATGACCTTGATTCCGCAAATCTACATAACATGCCTACTTACCCTAAAAAGGTTTCCCCTTAATCGGATGTGTACTTTACAAGATCATTCGCGGACAAAATTTTCCCGAGAAGAAAAATAATAATAATAATAATAATAATAATAATAACTAGTGCTAATTGTAACGGGGACCGTTACAGATGTTCCCCAAACGCTCCCCAACTCCCTTTTGGTGCCATATTCCCTGTTATCTCTATTAAATAAGAAATACTTTATGGAATTTAGACTTAATCAAGGACTTCCAAGAAAAATACAAAATATATTAAAAAAATAGGCATCGCACGCGTGTTCATGTGCGTAACGACCATATTATCTTGTCTACACTATCTTAAATTTTAATAATATCAAAGCATTTAATCCAAAAGTATTAAAAATGCACTCATTCGAGTGTATTTTTTATTTTACTCAGTTCACGCGCAAGCACGTGCATAATGACGACACCTTCTTGTAGGAGTCCTTTACATTTATCCAAGTTCTAAATCTCATCCTGTTTGGTTGAAAAACAAGAGAATTATAGCCATTTGAAGTTTCAGCCAATCAGATTGCAGAACACGTGCATGCGCGTGATTTCATGAATATTTTCTATATCATATTTTAGGATATCGTAATGCATGACTATGTTTTAAATTTCAAAGCATTTCGTCAAAAAACAAAGGAGATATAGCCATTTAAAGTTTTAGCCAATCAGATTTCAGCACGTGCGCATGCGCATGCTTTTATTAAAATTTTAATATATCATGCTGTAGATCTTCATAATGTAGGACCATGTTCAAAATTTCAAAAGATTATGACAAGAAACAAGAAAGATATTGTGACTTTAGTTTCAGCCAATCAGAGCAAAGCGCACGTGCATGCGCGTGATATTTTGACCATGCTAACTTGTCTATACTACTAATGTATCCTTACATTATGAGTTTCAAAGCATTTTATCAAAAAATAGAAAAGTTCATATATCTATTATATTGGTTATTTCAAGTGTTGCACGTGCGCGCTCTTGCAAGCACGTGCGCGCAAAATGACCTTGATTCCGCAAATCTGCATAACATGTCTACTTACCCTAAAAAGGTTTTACCTACCTCGGACGAACAGTTTACAAGATCATTCCCGGACAAAAAAGTACCCAGGAAGAAGAAGAAAAATAATAATAATAATAATAAGAAACAGAGTAAAAACAATAAACCTCGTTTGGGGAACATAATAATAAGAAACAGAGTAAAAACAATCTTTAAAATTGTAGGTAAAATAAAAAAATATTTCAACGGACATATTATTTTCAAGAATTTTTGACTTAGAAAGGGAGCTGTTGGTATAAATTTTATGACCACTTGCAGAACTACATCCCAATTCCTTTAAAATACATTTAAAGTAATGAGCCTTACAAACAAAGACGGTGGTGGTGTGTCATGCCACGTCAGCAGAGACCAGTACATACTGATCATATACATGTATGTATCTAATTCTTTTTTTCTTTTCTGAATAATTGAACAATATGAAGAAGCAACTGTTTCATACTGCCCCATAATAGCTGAATGCGAGTTTTAACATCCATCTTACACTTTTTATCCATTTTGACAAAGTGTCATGATCTTCATTTTCATGTTTGGTCTATTGCTTTGTGTTCCACAGAATTCATAATTTTTCTGAAATTATGACGCTATCTGAAAGATCGGGGTTCCCCTTTGGCCTTTAGCAAATGAGTGATTTAAGGTCTTCGTCACCAGGAATGACCAGTCCAGGGAGACTAAAGTTGAAGGACGAAAAAGAAAACCTGAGAGGATTATATTTTATATGTTTGATATCTACATGTAAGTAGACAGCAGCGGTCCCCTTGTAGCGACACACATTTCCTCATAAGATTCTCAACGGTATTCTTTAAAAAGTTCCAACAAAGGAAAGACATTTGATGTATAGGGAAATTAACCCCTCTTGCTACCTATAAGTGTTAAATGAGCTTATAGAGGTAAGATCAGATTAGCCAATCCTTTACCAACCAGAGCTAAAAATCTTGTTCTGACAGAAGTTGTCTCCAAGAACAGGGGCCCTTACAGGGGAACTTGCAGGGGAACTTACGACTAAGACCAAAAACTTCAGATGATTGTAAAATTTTGCTTAATTAATAATTCTCTTTAACGTTGTTTATGTAAAAATATATTTCAATATTCCTTTTAAAAAATGTAGAATAATTTTCGATGTTATGTTAGTTATAAAATTAAATGAAGAATTAAATTTGGTCTTAAGTCGTAAGTCCTTTCGTAAAACGGGCGCCAGCTCTGACACATACAATTTTATCAGCCCTATAGCAGACTACAGTTATATCATATAAGGAAATTTGTCCTGTCAAACAGCCAGTTCCATCTATCATGTCAGCTGCAAGGTTTATTTGGGAAATGGGAGTTCTCCACAGAACAGTTTATAAACACAGTGAACTTTCTAAGACCATCAGATTGGGAACAAAAAATTCGAAGACATGACGTACAGTAGAGGTTACTGACCATGTGCTCAGAGAAAAGCAAGGACAGGTTTTAATTGGATGTTTATCAAAATGAACATGAACTATAGATCCTGGATATGACAAATGAGACAATGCTCTCCAAATATTGTCAACGTTGTGCTTTTAAATTTTTTTTTATTTTAAATTTTATTTTAATCTTGTAATACCCGGTATATGTAGACAGAAACGTTTTTCATAACTTTTATATTTCCTGTTATTGTTCTTGTCAAAACATTTTATGAGTATTTTTGAACCTGTTTATATGGGAATATCTCTTTAAATATAGGGAAACAAATCCCACTAGTTATTATTCTGCATGGTTCGATGACTAAAGTGAAACTTCAGTTCACATTATTTTGTCTATGCGTCGTTGTTGATTTCTGAAATGAGTAGGAATTTTGACGATATAAATGTTTCACTTTTGTAAGTATTTGATCTATAGACTAGATTTTTAAAAATTACTCCAAGATGCATTACTTAAAATAAAAATTGTCATTTACTATCCATTATTAGTTATAATTGTGTCCCTTTGAAGTGAAAACGGCAATTTTAATTATCTTCTTGTAAATTGTGTATTATTGTAATGTAATTCTAAGGACAGATATTTGCATATCTTAAAAGATCTTAAGATATTGTTCTATGATTTTTAAGTTGTTACTGCCTGTTTTACCATTACCGTGAGTTTTTTGAAATCCCTTTCTACTTTTGTAAAAGATGTTCAGATTTTATGGTTTGTTCGATTCCTGGTCCACGGAGAAGTAAACTGTCCCACAATTCAGCAGTGGGATTCTAGAGCTCTTATTAAATGCCTTGACCCGTCCCTGTACCATTGTCTATTGGATGATGAAGATAATCACACGGAAGCTTGTGTGGAATCTGTTTACATCCCAAAAGGTAGCAAGGGAGAAAAAATTGGTCAGATCATTTTAAATTCTACAAAGATAACTTACGAATTTCTCGTTCTTTCAAAAGAATAATCCAAGTACCGGAATGCCTTTCATTGACTTTGATGTAGATTGTTTTACTAACCAAAATAAACTTGAATATATTTCTTTCTTAAATAAACATATAAATATATTTAATGTTTTTAATATTTGATTTCCATAAAGTATATCATGCATATACTATTAGGTCAATTAATTTGATTTGGTTGATTAAAGAGTTGACAAGAGTAAACTTAATTGTTATGAACGTTGTTATTTTTTTATCAAAATACTTATTTTTTTTTAATCAGGAAGATATCCAAGGCTCTCCAGAAATGCAATGATTTTTAGTAGAGTTTGTCCAATAGATGAATATCAACCATTTGGAAAACTATCCAATAGATATCGTAGAATCACATGTGATTTTAAAAAATCCACTTGCAACGACGCAGGCGAAATTTCATGTGACGATGTATCAGCCATCTCTGATAGACTCTGTGAATGTGATTACAGGAGTGGTTACCGGAACTTCCTGTCGAACAAGTGCTACAGGAAAAGTACAACATCCACTCACTGTATCTATCTTCCATGTGAATCGGGCAAAGAGTTAAATCCTGGTTAGCCTTCTTGACACAAGGGAATTTGTTCAATATTCAGATTAGGATAAGATTTTATGATCATATTTTTACCAAAGCTAGTCTTTTATATTACATCATCGAAATCATTACAAAAGCTTATATATTTGTAGATTTCCAGTGCGTAGATGCATGTGCTAATGGTTTCTTCCGACCATTTAAAGGCTACATTTGCATTCCAAATCAGGCATATACGAAGCTGTGTGTATTCGTATCATTTACTACTAGTATTTTCCGAATGAACCAGTGTATATACATTATTGAATAAAATTCACTCTTAACTATATCCATTTACGGTACCAAAAGTAAAATCTTTTGTATTCTTTTTAGAGTATGTATTTATTTTTAAATGATAGTACTTTAATATAATCATTTATGCTTTAGCCAAAAGGACGTGTATATTGATGACACCTTTTCAACTTTTCAATTGGGAACAAATGGTACGTTAATGCATTCCAGTTTTCACAAGTTTAGATCACTTAAACTTTCTGATAACTTTCAATCGATATTCATAGATATCAAGAAATCCATCACAACATCTGCTGAAAGAACTCTTCGTATTGGCGAGTTGATTGATGACCCTGAGCCAATGATACAAACGACACAGAGAGCATCAGCAACTTCTGATGAAGCTAATTTAATTGCAAACGTAAATGTGGCTTCCACCAGATTGCTTCCAAAACTTAGTCCCTCATCGCAGTCTGCCATATCAAGGAATGGTTGTAACAATATAGGAAGTGACGAAATTAAGCTTCGCGAACACCAGGCCGGCTTATCATTTGATTCAACTGACGGTATACCATTAATATAATATAGAAAATGATTATTATAATGTAAACTACTTAAGCAGATAAAAATGGCCTCTGTCAGAAATAATTTTAGGCTTGCATGAATAATCTGAGCGATGTCTTCTTATCGTAAATTATATAACTTAAACTTTGTTTTCGAAACATATTGTTATTTAACTTTTTTTATATTGTAACGATTATTATGAGTAAAAGATTAAAAGATAACAAAAGACAAACACATTTTTAACACAGTACCATAAATTCTGTTTCAGCAGTGATAGCTAGAATAAAAGATGCTGCCATTGTCGTGTTACTGGTTCTTTTGATCTCAGTCTCCATTATTTCCCTTAAGCAAAGGTGCGTCAGGTTCTTCAAATAAAACTCACTATGGTGAATCGAAAACTTTTCATAAAGCCATTATTAGCGGAATTTAAGGCATTAACACCTGCTCTTTTATTGTCATACAGATGCTGTTTTAATCAAATTTGCAATAAAGGTTGAAGGGGTTCATAAAATGAAAAATCTTATACTTTAAAAGTCGACAGAAAAATAAATTTCTATCACCTAAGAAATTCTATATTTTACAATCAATTTTTCCTTTGTAATTAATCAGATAATTGCAGGTTCAAACACAGGAAGAAGATAAAAGAAAGGTCATCCGTTTATTTGTCAATGGAAGGTAACCAGGGATATCAGCCACAGAAAGAGGCAGAAACCTGTTTATACCAAAAAGTGAATGCCCGAGAAAATGACAGCAATTCACTTGGCAGCAGATACTCTACAGAGAGACCGCCTGAATACACTTGTGTACACCCAGTTGACATGGAAATGGAAACAAAAGATTCCGAATATGTGCAAATGAACAGAATCCTATCTGATCTCAATAAAGTTGAACTTTTCTGAGAAAAAAAATGCTAACTGTCTTTATAGTTATAGCTGTATAATCACAGTTCTTTGATCTATCAATATATACGATTGAGGGAAGGTGTGTGTTAATTGACGCCTTGATTAGGTGTAAAAGTATCATCTTCCTCAAATGTCTGGAAAATATTCTTTTGAATATTTTTGATTCCATGGTATGATTGTATTAGGCCTATCTAGACAAAATAAGAATTTCGAGCGACAAAGGATATTTGAGTAGCGCAGTGGTTAGGGATTCTTCTCCAGCGTTACTAAAAAGTAAGTGTAGTCAGTAAGTAAGGTAAGTAATTGATCCATGGGTTCATGGGTTCGATTTCTGCTGTGGGGCCTGGAGACCAGTATAAATGGAGGTCTACATATGAGTGAAAAATTCTAGAGAGGGACATTGAACAACATAACAAACAAACTAGTGACAAATGAGTAGATTTCAAGTTATAAGAACGAATGATAGACATTTTTTAAAATCATTATGAACATCAAATCATGAATATATAATTAAAAAAATAAGTTCAACGTAATGTATATGCAGTTAACTTCGTAATCAAAATTTCTCAATTATGTCCTATGAAATGAAAAAAATGTGAAAAGCTTGGTTTGCAAATCATAAATTATAAGTTTGAGTACTAGAGATACATGTATATGAATTGAAATACATGTACATATTGGAAATGGAAATGTCAGACCAGTACGATTATTTAGAAGGATTTCATGAAATCAACATATATCACTATTACCCTTATCCATATGGTGAATTCTTCGTAATTTAGAGCCAATCGGTGATATTTCAAATCTGTATATTTTCTCTTTTAATTTGATTTTTCATCTTATTATGTTCCCCAAACGGAGTTTGGGAACATATTGTTTTTACTCTGTTTCTTATTATGTTCCCCAAACGGAGTTTGGGAACATATTGTTTTTACTCTGTTTCTTATTAAGGTCTTCCGTCTTCACGGAAGACCTTATAGTTATTGCTCTGTTTCTTATTATTATTATTATTATTATTTTTCTGACACGATTTCTCGACAACTACTGGATAGAATTACATGAAATTTTCAGGAAAGATGTGTTGTAAGATACTCTTGAAAGTTCCTAGACAGTTTTTGGAAATTCCTCTCTGGTGCCAAGTTTTGGACCATTTTCCTGATTTTAAAACGACATTTTGTCCACGATTAAACTCAAAAACGGTAAAAGATATCAATGTGAAACTTTCAGAGTTTATAGATGATGATCAGTACTTTCCAGGACGCAACTTTTCGTTCGTCGTCAGTACTTCCTGTCGCTACCGGAAGCCAATTCAAAAAGTCCAAATTTTCAACTTTCTTTGTTTTTCAATATTTTTCATTTATTTTTGGAATATTAATAGAGACACTTCTATTGATGCTTACTATATAAGTTGTTTTAATATTGGTTAATCTGAGCTCTAGATATTAATATTTGAAAATCTGAAGCGGGCCCAAGATGGCGGCTGTCTCTGTCAACTCCGACATTTCGCGAGTAGGGGCTTATGGAGGCAGCTGAGCGTTTGATTAAACCATTCTGACATAAGGATACATGAAATGCAAAAAACTACTTGGACTCTCACGTAGTAGAACGTTGCAATTCAGTGTCAATCTTAAAAAACTTAATTTACGTTTCACTGCTTTAGTGTTACTGGGCTAGATACGATATGTAATGTGTACAATGTGTTAAATATACTTTCCTAACGCCGAAATAAAATAAAGGTGATAAGAATGTTTTATTTAATTAATTTCATTGAAGCTATTGCACCTCTTTAATAGATCAGTACAAAGAAAAGGTGCGAATATTTACGCGTGGCGTTTGACACGAAATAATGAATAGTGTCCCGCCTTTTATGATTCTTAGACATGCAGGTGTACTGTTGCAAAAGTATACACAAGTATATTTAAAGCAGTATTCCCAATAGCTAAATGGTTCGCGCGTTGGGGAGAAAAGAGAAAAAAAGGCGCATTCACGTTGGCGACCTGGATTCACTCCTCCTTGTGATCAAAATTTTTAATCACTTTTTAGTTCGATTTTACAAGTTTTTTTTCCTGAATCGGACGGAAGACCTCTCGTTGCTCGCAACGAGATCGTATCTAGTTATTATTATTATTATTTTTTTTCTTATTTGTTCTCCGGTACTTTTTTGTCCGCGAGTGTTCTCAGAAACTGTTCACCCAACTGAGCTAAAACCTTTTTAGGGTTAATAGGTGTGTAGTGTAGGTGTGCGGAACGAAGGTCATTTTGCGCGCATACGCCTGCACGTGCGTTCGCGTGAAATGAGTGAATTGACTGATATACTTAATATAGCTATAACTTTTACATTTTTTGATGAAATGCTTTGAAACTCATTACATAAGGATATATTAATAGTGTTAATAATATGACACTGTCAAATGAGCACGAACTCACGTGCATGCACGTGCGCCTTGCTCTGATTGGCTGAAACAAAAATCTCAATATCTCTTTTGTTTTCTGACGAAATGCTTTGAAATCTTTAACATTGTCATGAATTATGATATCCTACAACATGATATGGAAAAAATTTCATGAAATCACGCGCATGCACGTGCGCTGCAATCTGATTGGCTGAAACTTTAAATGGCTATATCTCCTTTGTTTTTTGACGAAATGCTTTGAAATTTAAAGCAAAGTCATGCATTAGGACATCCTGCAATATGATATATAAAAAATTTCAAGAAATTACGCGCATGCACGCGTGCTGCAATCTGATTGGTCGAAACTTTAAATGGCTATATCCCCTTTGATTTTTGATGAAATGCTTTGAAATTTGAAATATAGTCATGCATTAGGATATTCTACAATATGATTTAGAAAAAAATTCTGGAAATCAAGTGGATGCACGTGTGCTGCAATCTGATTGGCTGAAACTTGAAATGGCTATAATTCCCTTGGTTTTCAACCAAACAGGATGGGATTTAGAACATATATAGATATAAGGGCCTCTAACAAGAACGTATGGTCATCATGCACGTGCACGCACGTGCGTTCATTTGGAACGAGTAAAATTAAAAATACACTTGAATGAGTGATTTTTAATACTTTTGGACTAAATGCTTTAATATATAGTATATTTAAATATTTAGAAAGTGTAGACAAGATTATATGATCATTATGCACGTGCATTCACATGGGCACGCGTGCAATGTTAAAATTTGAATATAATTGGTATCCTTTTGGGAAAACGTTGTTAAAGTCAAACATGCACAGATGTTGTCTTATTTAATAAGGCTTACGGGGAATATGGCACCAAAAGGGAGTTGGGGAGCGTTTGGGGAACATCTGTAACGGTTCCCGTTACAATTAGCACTAATTATTATTATTATTATTCTTTTTTCTTCTTATTTCTTCTCCGGTACTTTTTTGTCCGGAAGTGTTCTCAGAAACTGTTCACCAAACTAAGTTAAAACCTTTTTAGGGTTAGTAGGCATGTTGTGTAGATGTGCCGAACGAAGGTCATTTTGCGCACATACGCATGCACGTGCGGGCGCGTGCAATGAGTAAAATGACTGATATTTTTAATATGGTTGTAACTTTTATATTTTTTGATGAAATGTTTTGAAACTCATTATATAAAGATATATAAGTTGTGTAGATAAGATGACATGGTCAAATTTGCATGAACTCACGCGCATGCACGTGCGCTTTGCTCTGATTGGCTGAAACAGAAATCTTAATATCTTTTTTGTTTTATGATGAAATGCTTTGAAATTCATAACATAGACATGCATTAGGATGTACTACAATATGATATAGAAAAAAATTCATGAAATCACGCGCATGCACGTGCGCTGCAATCTGATTGGCTGAAACTTTAAATGACTATAACTCCTTTGGTTTTCAACCAAACAGCATGGGAATTAGAACATAGATAGACATAAAGGACTCCTACAAGATGGTATGGTCACCATTTAGATGCATGCACATGCGTGCACGTGCGCTTTGCTCTGATTGGCTGAAACAAAAATCTCAATATCTTTTCTGTTTTTTTACAAAATGCTTTGAAATTTAAAACATAGGCATACTTTAAGATGTCCTACAATATGATATATAATAATTGTCATGAAAGCACGTGCATGCACGTGCGCCGCAATCTGATTGGCTTAAACTTTAAATGGCTATAACTCCCTTGTTTTTCAACCAAACAGGATGGGATAAAGAACACAGACAGTCGTAATGGACTCCTACAAGAAGGTATGGTCATCATGCACGTGCGTGCACGTGCAATGAGTAAAATAGTGTAGACAAGATGATATCGTCATTACGCTCATGCAATCACATGCGCACCCCTACATTGCTTAAATTCTAAATTCTTGGTATACTTTTGGGAAAACGTTGTTTACGCTTTAAATGCATAGATTTTGCCTTCTTTAATGAAACTTACAGGGAATATGGCACGAAAAGGGAGTTGGGGAGCGTTTGGGGAACATCTGTAACGGTTCCCGTTACAATTAGCACTAGTTATTAAGGTCTTCCGTCTTCACGGAAGACCTTATAGCGATTCTATTGTTTCTTATTATTATTATTATTATTATTATTATTATTATTCTTTTTTTTTAGACAAAATTTTGTGCAGGCGATTTCTCGTAAACTATTTGGTGGATTTCAATAAAAATTTCAGGAATTATAGGTCATGATATGAATTTTATATAAAATTCCGTTTTTTGGAAAATTCGGTACCAGTGCCAAGTTATGGGCAATTTCCTGATTTTAAAATGCAATTTTGTCTTCGAGTGTTCTCGAAAACGGCTAAAGATATTAACTGGAGACTTGTTAGAGATGATAGACCATGAGTTATAGATGTGCAATTTTGACTTCGTTTGCGTCGTAAGTACTTCCGGTCGCTACAGGAAGTGATTTCAAAATGTACACTTTTTCAACTTTTTTTGTTTTTCAATATTTTTCTTTGATATAATTAATGGTAATAAAGACCCTACTGGAAAGGCCAAATATATAATTTA